TTTGCACAAAATACAGAGTGAATTTGCTGCTGTTTTTCGCCGGACCTGGTGCATTTTTTTAGATTGTTTTAAAACGTCTTCTTTCACCTTGTCCTGTTAAAGTAGGTTTTTTTGTAGTATTTTTGCTGGGTTTGCCAGCCTCCTTATTTTTCGTGTTTTCTTGCTTTTTGTTTATTTGGGTTTGACAGTCAGCAAATATTCATGCGTTTGCTACTTTTGCGTGGTGCCTTGTTTCGCCGTGTGTGCGGTCACATCTGTTCCTTCTGTTCCTTTATGGTGGGTATGGGGCTTTAGTAATGCTTTTAGCTTTTAATTAACTTGTAGTTCGACACCTTCGATATGTTCACCGGCTGTTTTTCGTCCAAAGTTAGTTGGCTTCTGTATGAGATGCAGTTGTCTGTGGTTCATTTTTTATTCCACCTGTTGGGTGTTCTTGTGTTACTGAATAAACGAGGGATGGGTTCTTTGGCGCATATTTTTGGTCATCAATACTCATTTCTCCCTCTTCTTTTCCGCTAACGCGAGTCATTACTGGCGAATTGCTTAGGCGTGGGTTCATTTTAGGTGTGCTGCTTTTTACACTAATATGCCTTGAACTTGGTAAAGGACTCTACGGGATCTTGAACCAGTCGTGAATTTTTGAGATCGTAAAGACTAATTTCGTATTGGGCTTGTAGCTTAATTACAGGGGCTCTCTATATGAATGTAGCTTGAGAACTTTCAGGAAACAGAAATGGACTGGTTCTAGCGTTCCTGATTTCGACGAGGCTCCCAAAGGCTGCGTATGGGAAAGGGATGAAAGACACTGACTGGCGCTTGGTGTTAGCCACCATTGTTGCTTTTTAATTCGCTGTTTGATTTTGCCACATGAACCAGTGGTACATTCGATTGCGTCTTTGTTATTTTGTATCGAACATTCCTGTTTCTTGTTCGCCTTATCGTCTGCATTCGCTTATTTGATAACGTTGGACGTCTATTTATAGAATACTTGGGTTGCTCGATTCAGCTGATATTACTCTAGTACCCATGTTACAATAACCCCTACCTGTTATTGTTTTAGAGTTTTCACTACTTTTCGGCATGTTGGGTTTGAAATTCCCAGTAGTGTGTAGGATTGAATGAACTATCATGTTATTTGTAGATTATGACAAAAGCGATGTTGCATAGGCTATACTTATTTTTCAGACAAATATTTAGATTAATGAGTCGACTGCAATTGAACAACTTGACACCATTTAATTCTTTCGGGAGTCCTAACCCATTGCACCAGAAAGTTGTGAATAGATACAATGGTTGTTATGGAATTTGTGCCAAGTATATATTTCAGGCTGCTTTGTAGTTACTTGCGCCCAGTGATGACGCTAAGTTTTTCGTGTTTTCCAATTCATGAATTTCCTATCTTTAAAAGCCTATTTGTTAAGTTGCGGTTTTGAAAACTGCTATTGAGCATGTCAGTGTAGTCCATACGATTTGCGTAAATTACGTCCAATACATACCTCCAATTTAAGAAAACATCACATGGATACTCTACTTTATTACAGACTCGTAGTGGGGTACATTTCTTTTCTTTTGAGCTGCAACAAATCGTGCTTTTCAAGTAAGTGGATGGAGTAGCACCATTACTTATCGGCGTTAAGGCTGCATCTTGTGAATCGGCTCTTGTACCATTTCCAGCATGCTTCGGTGATTATTGCGTCAATCAAAGTGTATTGAGCGCGAACCGTGGTGTCTTACAGGTTCGACATGACGAGATTTATTTTTAGACTTACTGGCTGCCTATTGGCGCTGGCGTTCTCGAAGTTGACTTCATTTTTTTTACGCAAGCCCTCAGTTCCACGCCTAGTAGCCTGACCCAAGGCCCCGTTTTGTAGAATATCTTAAAAACACCATTTTAATACAAATACTGCTTAAAAGCCGTCCATTTACAGGCATTATGATGTCGTATGATTATCTGTGGATTCGAGGAATTAAAAGACTAATACAATTGTAATTGGATAGTGATTAACTAAGTGGATATCTTGTGTCATTGCCCTATCTGCTCATATGGTATCGACTACCCAAGTGAAGCATTTTCAACGTGTTCAGACTTAGGCAAGCATAACTTTGCTGTGAGATTTATTAGTTTGTAAACACTAAAAAGTTTGGCAAAATCAGGTCTGTTTCTCGGTGTTACGAACATTGAGTTGTTTAGCATTGTTTGGAAATACACAAGAATTTATGCTCATTTGGGTGCCCGGTCGGTCTGAGTTTTGGGAACCAGTCAGATTCAGACCTCTTTCAGAAAAAGGCCCACTTTCTAAGATATGTTCCTTGAGATCTCAGAAGAGGTTCTCCGAAAACGAAATTTTGCCAAAAGCTGTTCGTCAATTAATTGGTGGTACAGTTTCAGTAATAACGTGATGAAAGGCGATATTCTCTCATTTAAATGCTTAACGAGATTTCTAGTATTTAATCATTTGAAGCTAAATTACTACCTAAAAAGTTTTCTGAATTCCCATAATGCTTTGAAGTTATAACCTGGCTATTTTGGATCCCTAAATTGCTATCACAATTAAAAGTAGAACTACAAAAAACCAACTATAACAAAAAGGTGGAGATTTGCCACCCGCATTGCCGTAAATTGTGTTAAAACTCCTTTCAACGGGTAGAATAGGCGTTGCTGTGATTTACAACACTCAGAGGTACATAAAATCATGGCTCAGTCTGCCATCATCAAGTTTTCATTTGTGAATGGGTAGGTGGAAGCCTCTTTTGGCTGTTGCAATCTTGCTAACAGCAAGGTTATCTTGCGCCCCGATTACCAACATCGAAGATAGGGTCGAAGTTCGCTGCATCAATGAATATCGCCAATATTGCCAAGGAAAACCAAACGGACTAAAGTAAGCCAGTGCACTTGTATGCGATAAGCTTTAAAACGCCTAATTTTCCCTTTTTTTACCACTTGTTGACTTAAAAGCGGATTTGATTGGTGCCTAAACAGGTTTGTCAACGTCAAGCTGTTTTGCTTATCTTTCTCATCACTGAAGGGTATGGTTAGCTTGGCAAAGCACTTAAGGGTTCCTTCGATGGCCTGTGAAATGATGTCGTATGCTTTTATACTAAGAACATTTCATTTGCTTCAAAGTAGTGAAAGTTGTGATAAGCGCCTTGATTTTTGCTTTAAAAACCCTTTCTCAAATAATGACAAACTTTTCCAAGTCGGGATACGATGTTGATAATTTGTAGCCTTTTGAACTATCGTTAATTAGCTGTTTTATCTTAATTTCGTTTTGCAGGTTTAGCGATGGATGTCGTGAATGCAAGTGCGAGAATGGTGCAGTCTTCTGTAAGAAGGGTGGATGTAAATTTTTCTCTCATCCCGGTCAAGATGTTCTGGACTACTGTGAAACGGTCTATCAGAAGGTAAGCTGTCATCGCTTTTTCTTAAATCGAAATCTAGCATAAAATTATTGTTGTATTGAATTGCTTCAAAAAGCTGCAGTTTTCATAAATTTCGGTGTGACTCAGCAGCGTGAGAAATTTTGCTTTCGAGGTCAAATCGCTTTTAGGTTACACTCCTAACTCTCTAGCGTCACATATATGTGACACCTTCTTTATCAATTTACGATAAACAGCTTAGAACGATAAAGTGGATTTTCCATATTCTCGACCCTGAAATAATCAAGCTTTTTAGCAATTGAGGAGCGTTTATGCTGGCCGATTTGGAAGTACAGGTGTTGGTGTCACAGGACAACTGTAAAACATCTAAACTGTGAAAAAATAGGTATCACCCCTAACCCTAAGCTAAGAGCCTGTGAACTAAGGACACTAACTAGTGTTTTGCTATTTTTTTAAAAACCCATACTGTTTATTTCCCTACTTTATTTGATTGGCTGTTTTATGAGTTAGACAAAACAAACACCCGCATAAGCATGTAATTTCCTTTGCATGTAAAGAAAATATTCCTGCTTGAAAGATTTGGTCACTTCCAGGTTGAAGCACGTGAGAAGCAAGCACAATGAGCTTGACTAAAAAAGCATCTCTGCTGTTGCCTTTAGAACTCCATGGTGGGAAACACGGAAATTGCACAAATTCGAACCGGATTTAAAATGTATCTAAGATAGCATTTGATAAATTACGAAAAGGCGTAAATTAAATGCTAAGTAGGTGAAATAGCTTAATATAACAAAGGTTCTTCTTGTTTCGTTTATTGAGCAGAGAACCCCTAATCATATCCACGTTGCGGATATGTCCCTACTAGTTTACTTAAATTAAAATGGAAGAGATAAAAGTGGTCATATATTCAGTTTACGACAGACAAATCCATGCACTTCCAATATTTATTTTAATACGACAAACACAAGTCAAGTACGGCACAGGATGGGCAGGAGTGACCGTTATTTTTGTTTTTAGAATGCTCAGAAATTGGCCACTAAAAGGAAGGAATTATCTGAGCTGGAAACTCGAAGTAATACTACTACGAAGATTGACTTGATTTCAGGAAAACCTGAAGAATTGACTGACCAGGAGAAAGCGGAAGCCACAGCTAAACTCCAAAAACTCGTTGAATCCTACATTTCCAATCAGTCCAATGAATCTACCTTGGGAAGAGCTGAAGAATCGCCCCATCAAACAAATCAGAAAGGCACTATTATTGAAGAAAAAAAGAAGCAAAAGAGGGAGATAGAGAGGTCGAAACCTGCTCTACTTCAAGAATCTCCGCCCATTCATCGTGTCAAACCTGAATTAGGTAAATTCATGTCAGAATATGGGTTAACTAATTCAAATAACTCTAACGGCGACTCGTATGTCCACCCGTCTGATTTGCTCTCAAATCACGATGTGGCTCAAATCTTTGAGTCAAATGAGGGTTACTCGCGTAAAAGGATGCCATGGAAAAGGCCTCGTCCTTTCGACCTTGATAAACACCTGAATCAGGGCTTAGAATCTCAACCCAAGCGCAACCTTAAACACGGCACTAATGGCGCGGTTGGCGAAATCACAGTGAACAGACTTTCAAGTTGGCCGCTCCAGTCTGAACACAAAAAAGGTGGCAAAAAATCCGCCATTTATAGATCGCCAGAAATCATTGCACGAGGCCGCGATACATCCCGAAGCCAAAACTTCATGAAAAACAATTTAGAACAAGTAGATTGGAGGAATAGGATGCTTGCTTCTGCCGCTCATCATAGTCGCTACTCATTGCCAAAGCGTTTCGATAGAGAGCGGACTCAATTTGTAGCCTCATCTCCAAATTGGCCAACCCAGGAGGAAGATTTTTGGAACAGCCACATGGCTAGCTTTGGAAAACGTTACGACTCCATACCTGTTCAGCATTACGAAGGTCTTAAGCACCTTGCTGGTAATAAATATCGAAACTATCAAAGGCAATCGTTTACATTACCACGACAACCCCGTTATGCATCACGCCAAAAGACTCGACTTGGAAAAGATGGGACAATTGATGTTGGATCGGTTCCTAACGGTCATAGTAGTGCCATGAAGTCTGCCGAAACTATAGAACGGAATATGAGACTGATTGATCCTAACTACGGACAAATGCAAAACAATGAAGTGGATGAAAAGAAGCATCAAGAGCTTTTGGATGAGATTGAAACCTTCACAGTTTTAAGCAATATGGCAGTTAATCTCTTATTCAGTGAGAAGGTCTCGCAAAACAATTCAAAAGCAATGAATGTCCGTAGCATTGGTGAGTTTAAGCACATTGTGGCTATAATTGAAGAGAGCATCCAAGCGATAGAAGCCGAAATTGAAAGATTTTCACTACAAACCCCTTCAGAAAGACAGAAATTGCCCAGAGATATTCCTGAAAGACTGAAGCAACTTATAGACTCGACTAAGAAATTACGAGTTATGGTGAGTGGTGCAGATGATCCAGGAGATGTCATTAAAAGCGAACAACTGAACGAGATTCTTACCATGATGGAAGATATTGCGGCTACTGTATCAGCAGCTGTTGAGAAAGAATTTGAAAAATGGGACATGGACAGTACTGATGAAACTCCTCATCTGGAAGGGGAAGGACTTCTTTACGACAATGTCGATGATGATGAGAACTTAGCAGAGGCCAACGAAGCGGCCGCAATGAGATGGAAATTCACCCACTGCATGATGCTCTGTTCTCGTTGCCTTGAGATGGCGTAATACTATCGGGTTTCGGTTTAATATTAAATTGTTAAATAAATCACTATATTATAGGTGGGGGAAGTTAACGTTATTCTTCAGAAGCTCATAAATTTGGGTTCATACTTTGTGTTAGTGGTGAAATAGTATTAGCATTTCTGTACCTGTCTCTAAATGCCTGTTATAAAATATGTTCACCTATGAATTGTGGTACATTTCTAAACAAAAATCATGTCAAAATTGCAGTGCTCAACGCTTTAATGCGGATCAGTTGCGGTGCCCAGTACTTTTAAAATTTTTGAACGGAATATTTTCGGGAAAAAAAACGTTATCAATCTACTACCGGGTGGGGCGATTTGAAAGTAGTCTGTGATTTATTGGCATCCATTTCCACGCAGATATTTTATATGCAATGCCCCATCTTATTCTGACTTGAATTTCGAATTACGGTATCGTCCCCAGGGATGATAATACAATGGTGGTTGCTTCATTACTGGAAGAAGTTAGCACATTTAAGTCAATAACCTTCACCGAAAACATCTCATCTAAAGTAAAAGCCTCGATAAGGAAAACCAGACGGGTCTAACATGGCACATGACCTGGTGCGTTGTGTGCTAGAACGCCTGTGATCACACCCATAGGTACGTGCACATACGCACACGCGAGAGCAACACGGCGTGACGTCCCGGCGCAAGCAGCGGTCACACGCGTAGCCGACGGCAGTGGCGGAGCACAAAACCAAAGGAGCGGAAGGCTAGGCATCGGTAGCTATACAAGATTGTCCATACTTTCTCGAGATGACTACAATTTTACCTCAACTGGCACCTGGCCTTTCAGGTAAGTTGAAACCCTCAGGATAGCAAATGAGGCTCTGAACGCATAATGTGAAAATTCTAACTCATCTACACGACACGGATGCAGTCCATGTACAATAAAAAGATAGTGCTATCTTTACAACTGTTGTTGCGTTGCCAAACTACCGTTTCCCGTCAATTCGGCTTTTGAATTAATTCGAGCCGTTTTTAGCAAACGGCGCAACACTTTTTACAGTATATCTGACGACGCAGAGCAGAGAACAAGAAACAGGTCAGCTTGCATTCTAATATGCCTTATTTAATAAGTTGCTAGTGCGAATTGTGAAATATTCGTGCTATTCAAAAAACCATTCATCTTGAGATAAGTTGCGAGATATAGACAATTTGCATCCTATTGTGGTGCTGGTGAAATTATGTTTCAGGAAAAGTTGTCTGAACATGAGAAAAAGGGTGAAATGAAATGCAGAGGAGACTACAAATACAACCAGTCAACTGTAGTGGAATAAAAAAAGTTCGCACACAATCGTCCCCGAGAGGTGACACAAAATCATTTTAGCTCTTTCGTTGTAGTCATGGTGATGCTTGCTTTAAGTAAAGGACATGGACAAGACGAATAAGGCTATTTGTGAAGAATTTAAGGCCAAAAAAGGATAGATCACCACGAAAAAGTGTTTAAGAGAAACCCTTAAGCAGTGCTAAGGTAAAAGAATGACATCGAGCATCAGCCGTGCAGAGGTTGAGGGAGCAACCTCGAGCGGTTGGATTTAAGATTCACCAATCAGTAGATACACCGATTCCATTTACTCTTGTTGAGAGGCTGAGAAAACAAAGATAATGAAAAATGTACGGGGGGCGCCTTTGCGTATAACAACAAATAATGTTAGTTTGCAACACACTAATCATACTCGGCCCCACTTTCAATGTAGGCGCACAATCTTGACTGCATTCTTCCAATAGTCGTTTTAGTTTCTGGCGTTTAGAATAACTCACCTTTAAGGTAAACATGAACTTTCGAAAAGTACATTCTCCCGATGAAGTTACTTCGTAATAACTCAGTTGCGACACGAAAAATAAGGAATGTTAAACTCGAGGGCCTCTCACCTGAGAAGAGCTAAGTCGTACAACTTTCTTTTGCTTTCAAAAAAAGGATATAACGCGTAAGAGTAGGTGGCGTCGGCTTATACTAAACGGTATTTCGCCCTCCACACTATTTACACCATCAAACCGTTTTAATTGGACAAATTTCGAAAGAGGAGCATAACTATCGCAGAGTAGTTGTAAGGGTGTTGTAGGAAACAGCGGCTTAATGTAAGTAATCATTAGTAATCCAATAACAAGTTGACGAAAAAACAATAAAAGGTGGAGGGAGCTATGAAGGCGTTTCAGTGCGTGGGTGAGTTTGGCCGTGTTCACACGAGCACGTGGTTACATAATCACGAGCACCCACAGCTAGGATGTGGCGGTTGCTGTTGATATTAGCAATAGTAAGACTTGAGCATTATGCATGTGTGCGAGTCTGCACCTACGCGCACATGTGGAATTTCCGAAACGGGACCGAAGAGCCAACAAAGTAGAAAAGTTAGGCAGGGAAAAAAGGGGGAGACGCAGATGCAAGGTGGAGGTGGTAACATACTCTCAGACATAGAAACGGAATGAGAGTGAGTGAGAAAGAGCAAATTTGGTGGCGGCAGCCGATGGAAAGATTGGAAGGGGCGCTGTGGCCTTCTATTGGCTCCTCTGCTGTACGACCTGTCTCACACTCTGCGCCAGCTGCCGCTGCTGCTGCTCCTCCTCAGCGGTTCGGTAGGTGCGCATCGAATCGATTATTGCCTTGGACGAGCCAAAGTACACATCGTTCAGGAAAGACCTCATTTGGCTCTCGAGCTCCTGAAATCATGCAACACCCAATCAGTAGCCAAAATCTCAAATAAGAGTGGGAACCCAGAGATAATCATTTTCGGATGTGTTTTTAGTGCTGATAGTCAGTGTGAACCTTACATGAGTTTCATAGTCGTCGCTAATCCTTGATTTAGCAATGAAAGTGAGGAGTGTTATTGTCCCACACCCAATCAGCTTGCAAAATCAAGGGGCTCTTACGCTAACAAATGGGTCTGTGAAACAGTTCGACGAAGTTAAACGGGCCTAATCAAAATGCACGAGGCTTGACTGATTTAGTCAAGGATCAAGCTACATGGATTAAACTACATGAAAAAAAAGGCGTCTATCAAAATACATGCGGCTACTTTTCATGAAGAGGTAATTTTAGCAAGTGTTTATTAAGAAACGAGCCCAGCTTCTCCCTTTGCTTGCATAGACACCATCTGGTATTACCGTTCGGAGGAAAATGAGAGTGTACGCTAATTATGGTGTTAATTAACATAGAAATACCGATCAGACGGAGATATTAAAATTGACTCATCACGTCGACTTATTGCACAATTAATAGCGTGAATGTTACGAACAGCTTTTAACTTATGTTAATGTTATCGTCAACTATGCTGACACTCAAGAAACGATTAAGCCTTGGTTCATCTTCCAAATCCATGATAAACGAAGGAATTTTAAATCACACATGCACTTGCAATTTGGTTTATGATTGCAGAGAAGGCATTGGTAAGAATAACATTTAATCAAAATGCCTTATCTATGATGGTAAAAACAATTAGGAGTCCAAAAGAGACAAGAGGACTAAAAGCGAAAAAAAAGCCTAAATCACACACCTCCACCATGGAGCCAATATTGCTGATATGTTGCCTCTGATCGATGAGAGGGTACTCGTGCTCTTTCATACGAGTGAAGTGGCCGCCCAAAGCTGAAGCTCCACACTCGTGTGTATTCGTATCTATCCACATTATGATCGTGCTCGTCAGCTTGTAATGGGCCGACTTGGCAGTCGAGTGCTCCTGTCAAGGCGAGAAAGACAGGCGATTAAATGAAGAACCTGAAGACTCCCTGTAGAAACTATTTTGATAAGCTTATTACCAGCGAATTCTGACAATTTGGAAGTAGTGAATCGCTAATGTAGTCGTATTCATCTCGTTGACATGCTTTAAGAGGTTCTAAGTCATACACAACTGTACCTGAACTTCAACGATGTGGACGGAATCCCAAGATCCCCTAACAGAGGTTGAGTTGCCGGTCTTCTTAATGAGAATGGCCATTGCAAAACCTTGGTCCAGATCCCAACAATATACGGAAGAAATCCCACCCTCAAAATACCTAGACAAGGACCCAGGGGGAAAATCTTACGCAATCAACAAAACGAAGGGATAATCAAATTTTTGCTTTGCATAACAATAAAAACTGGACGAATGTCTGTAAACAACAAACTAAATGATTGTATTTTGATCTGAATAAGGAAACACCCAATTTGAAATAAGACAAGTTGAACTTGTAAAGAGTAACCAAAAATATGCAATGAACTGGCATATTCGTTGCTGTAGAAATAGAACAATCTGTAGATATGCTTATTAAAATTTAGGAAATAAGAATCAGTTTAAAAGGATGGTATACTAGTTGCCTAAGCACTCAAGGATAAATTAATATATGGTGATGTCGGAGAAGATATAGGTACCAGAACCCGACTCACATTTCACGATACTGATCAAAGGCATTATTGGCCTCTATTTCAAGAGCACGTAAACGTTCTGATGGAAGCACGCCATCATCAAGTGGTGGGTCGTAAACGTTAGTCCAGGGTGACCGGAACGAGTCGCCATCACGATTAAAGTCAGAGAGTAGGTAATCCCGACCAGCATTAGGGTCCTTCTTGATCTTCATTGGTTGATCAACCATAGAGAGAACGGCATCAGATATCTGTGGACAGATATCGAGGACGGATTGGAGAACGTGTTCGAACTTTTGCGGAGGCATCCTCCGTAGTAGATCCATGGCGGAATTTATTTGATCATCGTGCTACATTAGAGATGAAGCAAATATAAAGTCGCGGTAATGATAGAAAGTGCTTAAGAGAAGTAAACTAACGACTTAAAACACAAAAACAAAGTGCATGATGTCTGGACAGCATCAAGTTACTGTTTCGTGAATTTCGTACAGACAAAAAATACGCAAACATAACTCAAAATCAGCACTTAGGGTATTGGTTCCCAACCAGTTTAAAAGATTTAAAATCCCATTTAATTATGCAAGAAAACTTCATACGCAATGCTAACATAGGGGATAATTAAGAGGCGTTTGGCAGACGTATTGCTAAAAAACTGAATGCTAAAGGGTGCCAAGTGCTACACATAAATGTGCACAAAAATCAATCCAAATACATTTAAAAGACAAAAAACACATCAGGTGTCAGTTGTTAATTCGAGGCCTTATTCCATGAATACGATAAGCAAATTCAGCGGGGTTAGTTTTGTGAAGAAATATTACGTCAAAAGCGCAAGATACTTAGCACAGCACAAATCCTGCCATGTTGCACTACAAAAAGGTAGAACCCACTCACAGAGCCCAACATCGCGCTTCCGCAAAGCACTCAAAACTGGCTCCTTGGGAGGAAGTGCCTCTGACGAAATGTTTAAATAAAGCAGTAGCTTTGAGCTTTATTCTAGCTGTATATTAAGTCCTGACATGTTTAATTTAGTTAAAACTTTTAAAATTAACCCATGTTCCAATATTTGAAATTTTCTTCATCGACACTGCTCGTCTTATTTTGACAAGTTAATAATACAAATGTACTCGACATTTCACACACTGCATGCTTCTGCCAATAATTATATACATTTGCCAATTACTTTAATGTTGCAACATCATGTACACTTAAAAAAGTACTGCTAAATGCCGATTTTGTGCTTCATGGCCCAAACTCTACCTTATATAGCAATTGGTAGCATAAGTATGGAGGGAGGATGATTAAGCAAGTAAAAATGACTAAAACTTTAGTAACTCGACTGAAGAAACCACGCTTTTGAGTGGAATTACAATCCACGGGTCTCCAAAATTCCACCTATCTAAGTACAGCCACGCCGGATGGCAGATCAATGTGACTCAGCACATCACTACTTTGCAGTTTATAGTTTAAATAACATCAGAGTGATATATGATATTTGGGCCTTTTACGATGGCCGTTTTGGCTCATAAGAACGTGGACAAAAGTGGAGCTTTTTTTGATGCCTTCTTGAAGTCAAAAATTCATATTACTGAGGAAAAAAATTGTCGCTGACGTGTGGGAGAGCCGAGGAACCACCGGCATGGCTCGGAGGCCATGCCACTCAGCGGAAGCTCAATAGTTAAGGCCAAGGCAACCGTTTAACCATAACGCAAAGTTGAACATAGTCGGAGCATTATTTAGCCCCTTGCCGCTTCTGATCATCGTTGTCGGTGACCTTAATCAAACTACCGTGTCGGCAGGCACCACATAATCGGTGCTGTAAAAGAATACACCCACGAGTTAACTGCGTCTGCCACCGAATTTGCTTTCACCAAAGACAATACCTGACTGCGGCATCACTGATTCCTCTTAACAGTCCTACTAGATCTACAGTTTCGTCCAGAGTGGGAACTGCATTAAGGGAAAGCAGCTGTGCTAATCATCTCATGCACGCATCGTTAAGGATAAGAACACTAACCTAAAAGCATGGTCAGTTAATAAAGGATGGAGATTCAAATAGTATTATAAGTATGAGATCTCGCGCATTGACTTAGTTGACATCATCATGCAGGTCTGTAATTAACTTTTCCGAATAGTTCACGACCAAGGTTAGTGCTGCTTTAGTTGTTATTAGCGTTCCTGCAGGGCATGGACCTAAGGTAGTTGCCAAAGCTAGACGGCATTTTCAACTCTTCTGTTTGGAGTAGTCACAGTTTCGCCCATCTGCAGCATATGCTCTTCTTCCGTCACGTTAATGTTTAACATTTAGGAGTCGAAATCATGGAAGATGATCTTTTGGATAGAGTTCGCCTGCGGCTACCACGAATGTAGTGCCCTGATTCTCTAACGAAGAAAAAAGGTCAAAATACTAGAACAGAAAAAGCGCTGCTGATATACAGGAGCGATGGGGGCTACTGACATGTCCCATGGGTGCGAAGGCCAAAACTCCAAGTCATCTTGAAAATCAACTTAAGATATGTTTTGAACATAGAAATAATTTACTGGGTTTTTGAAAAGTTACAAATCATTATGATTATCTTCTTTCGCACCTTATGACTTCAAACTCCAACGTTGCGTGACATTCATGTCGTAAAATAAGATTGCCGTTTTCCTCACCTTCTACTAGAATTTTTGTAACAACTTGATTATCTTCCAAATACACTCCATATGCTTTGTAAGTTACCTAGATTTACTTTGATCTGCATATGCCCAACATTGTTATTGGGACATATTCCCTCGAAGTGGGGAACACTTTACTTTATCTTTTTTAAAAGCACTTGTTTTCATATTTAGATTGCAAATGAATTTCAAATTGGCGATAGTACGGTCAGCAATAAAAAGTCATGGTATTCAGAGATAATAGATGCATATTAAATTATAACGAAAGCCACTTTTTACTATCTGAAAATAGGCACATTCATAGCCGCTCAGCTGCTGATACGAGGAAGCATGAGTACTAAGCTTGACGCTTAAAATGAAGAAAGGCGGCGCACTCGTCATAATGACTTTGCAGCTCAAGCATCAAAGTAGCTTTAGGATAAGCTCTTAGAGTAGTGGTGCACTAGTGGGAAAGTGTCTGCGCAAATGAAATTGAGCTCATAGGGTCGAAAGTGTTCAAGCAATGCACAGTTCTGTTTCACATCCATCCTGCTGTTGTCCATCTCTCCTGATCCTGGTAATTCGATGCTGCAAAGTAAGAAAATTCACAGTCTCATTAAAGGAGAATAAGTGAATACAAAAAAATGAGCCTAATACCCTGCTCAAAATTCTACCAACGTGTTGGAGGGCACTGTTGTTTCCTCTTACTAACCTTTTATTGCAAAGAAATTGGATATTAATGCGGAGAACTTCCAGCATATTTAACATATGCTGAGCTAAACATCTAAATTTCGCAAATTTATTTACTTTTGACGTGTTCGTTTGCACCCATTATTTGTGTCATGGGATAAGAATGCCTTTCATTAGCCTATTTTGTGGCGGTTATAAAGTAAGCTGAGAATTAATGTAAAATATTTATGGAGCCTAATAAAATGGGTGCAATTAGTATTTTACCCACTAAATTTAGTCGGTATCTGTGGTTATATTAGCAACAGCCCGTGCTTAGGTCATAGTTCTCCAGTGAGTTATAAACGAGCATAGGACTGTAAGACGCACAACACCTCTGTATTTCTTCTTCAACTTAGAAAATTTTAGGATTTCTACCTAGGAGTATGGTTTCAGTTACCATTCATCTGTAAACTATCACGATTGTCATGGCCACAGATTTTCTGTATTTAGTGATTCATTTTGGAGACTCTTCTTGATTAATCATATCATTGCCAGAATCCTGAATGATGGATGTAAGTTGCATCGGGGAAGTGATCTACTTTATTACAATCTCTAGCACATGATATTTAAAACAACAAATTAGGAAGGAATGAGCCCAAAACGGCACATGCAGCACATTAGAACACAACTAGCCTGAAACAAAGTTTTGCTGTTGCTGTTGGAACTGGTGGTGGCGAAACTGCTCTTTAGCCCCCTGCGCAGTGGTAAAATTGGTTCCTTGAGGCCGATAGACAAGACGGGAGGTGGGTAGTGACTGCTGTGGCGAGACTCTACTCCACTCACTGCTGCTCTGGTAGCTGCTCCCCTGATGCAGCATTCGCTGCTGGTGCTGCTGCGACTGCGGGTGATATTTGGCATAGCAGGTCTGCTGGGTGCCGTAGTACTGAGTCATGAGGCCAGGATCATCGGTGCTAGAGCGCTCTACGGTGTTTCTGCTCTCGTAGTAGTCCATCTGCTGATTGGTTGAGGAAGACCACGTGCCCGGTCGGGATGGCGAGGCAAAGGAATCGTAGCCAACTCGAGTAGGGCTTGTGTTACGCCACGCCCCAGATCCCTGTGAAAAGCCAGTGGGGGCGGTGAAGGCGGTGCGGCTTGTGCTTACTGGCTGAGACTGGGCGTAGAATCCGTGACTCGTGTTGGGTGAATGGGTCGATGGGTAGATGGTCCGGTTCGTGCGCCCGTAGTTAGACATCCCGGTGGTGTGATGGTTTTGACCCATTGCATAACTGGACCTCGATGCGCTTTCAAAATGATAGCTTTGTGTCTGATAAGTAAGAAAGTTGGTTGCTCTCTTATTGTGCTGCTCTTCAAATAACAATCATTTAGTTATAAGGCTAAAATTATCACCAGTCAATGTTTGTTTTTGTTTCATGCACACAACTTTCACACACAATTTATAGTATCAATTTCGACTGACTGATATAAATGCAAAATTTCACTTGGTTTAGAACCAAATTAGCGTTTTATCAAAAAGCATATTCACTTTAAGGTGTTACTAATTTCTCAAGATCCGTTGAAAGCACTGAAAACCCACATATTGATAAAATTTTCCCAAGGGAAAGTCTTCTTGATGACCCATTCGACTGCACAATGGTAGGCACATATTAGAGGCAAAACACCTTAACCACCACTAGAGTGAATATTAATGGGGAAAAAAAATCCCGAGTTTCATGCAGACTTATTGCCTCCAATGATTCACCTGCCTGCGACAAGCACATACTTGCAGAAGGATTATGGAAGACTAAGGGGACCAAATCTACACTTAAAGGTCATGAATGTGTGTGTCTATGTTTGTGCAACATCTGTTTACGGATCTCCCAGGTGAGGGCACATAGACAAAAAATTCGAATTTAATGGTGGTATCTACCCATGCACCCATCTATCAATTAACCCTCCTTCCGCCCTCCCTCATCCACCGAGCGCTTCAGTCATTTAGCATATTCGAATAATTCGCTGTGGGTGTAAAATAAAAAAAGCACTCATCGACCGTATATACATATACATGAGCATCACATGATTCGAATTTAGAAAACTCATTTCAGAATTTTAGAGCTTATTAGTGATGGTTTAGCAGTTTAACAAATTCTCAAGAAGTATCTGGGCTTCTCCAGACGGTTGCAACTTTTTACTCAATGAACTTGTACATGCAACGAAGCAGTACAACAGGGTCTGCGCTTTAACAGCCAGCAGAAGTCGGCGATTCACCAAACAACATCGAGGCATGAATTAATGGGTAATGACACCGTTAATTTGCCTTATAAGCAACTTGACTGACTAGAATATTTACAAATAATACTATCTGAGTAGTTTGCTCCACAAACATCGAGTTTTAGACTAATTGCACAATTGAAGACAGGATCATGTCCTACGGGCTTGTAGTGTAGTAAAATACCTATTCACAAGATTCCCGGTGGTCCATAATTCTTGACTGAATGCTGTGTCACCAGTAGTGTATTCACCTGATGCGACACTACGGGGATTTATTATAAGTCCTCTTTCGAGATTAAACATTTGAGGCAGTTGGTAAAATAAAAAGCAACGTTACCAGAAGACTTTTACCGCCCTAAAATGGCCTTTGAAGCTTGGATAAAACAATCCAGGAGAAAAAAGAATTCACTATCAATGTTTTACGACTGCCTAGCTTGGCCAGTTAACTCCGCCTCGCCTCAAATTGCATTTTAAAGATTGGTGACTCACAGGCGAAAAGACCCTGGCGGGTTGTGATGTTGTCACTTTCAGTGGTGATGGTGGCTGCGCGCTCATGGCATTGAGATGCTCATCAAGCAGCCGGAAGGAGCGTGTGCGTGTAGCCTTATCGGCGTAGTTGGGGCTGGTAGGGCTCGTCCACGTGCCTGTTGCCCAGATGGATTGCCTGGTGTGGGCCGCCCCCGGCGCTGGTGGTGGTGCTGGCGTGCGCAAGAGGTGGGGTGCTCGCTGGGCCAGTATTTCCTTGTCAATACCCTGTCTGGGTCACATAGGACATAATACAACCTTGCTATTGCAACAAGGAAATTTTTATTCAAATCGTGTGTTTGAAATTACGGACATTTTCAGCCTCCCGTAAATTGTCCCGGTCTCCTCATGTACGCTTATGTTTGAGTATTTTCAGGGATGAGTAGAGCGCTACACACTACTTAAGAAAAATTACCCATTATTCGGTATTTAATTAATTTTTTAGGGATATACGACCCCATCGAGTCCTGCAGGTTCGAGCTGATAGTATCCCCAATGCTATAACTTGCCTGTGAAAGCTTGTGGGAATGCCACATTAACTATTGAAGGCGTATGAACAGCAAAAGTAGGAATTAAATCTGCTATTATAGACAGAGAACTCTTAAATCTCACAGTTAGCACTTTTACCAGGTTAAGTATGCTATCCCACGACGGGGGCTCTCCAGCATTAGGTGGTGTAACCAAAGCCACGGATTCAAATTTTAGTTCGTGACGAATGTGGCATAGGGCTCTCTTATTCATTCTTTAAACTCTTCTTGATCATTGAACAAAATTTGGGCAATATGAACTTCCTAAATTATTGGCCGTCTTCGTGTATATGTCCCAGGGCCCCAAGCGCTTTGGCCGGATTTGAGTGGTCCTGACCCTATTAAAAAAGGGATAGTCCGCGGTACGTGAGGCTCTCTGAATGTTTGTCTCGCTGCTGCTCTACCAACTCTGAAACTGACATACAATTCTAAAGTAACCCAAAATCAAAGCAACCATTTTTGTGCCATATCTAGAAAAGCTAGGGTAGCTTCGAATCTTGTTACCCCTCCTAATGCTGAGCCAGCAGGTATCTCCAGGATCCCACACTTGGTCCATAGTACCTTGCTGGGATGGAATAAAAGCAGGTGACAAACATGAAGTTTTGAAGGTTTTTTTAATAACCATTTGGAGGCAAAACAGAAAGCTCACAGTAGAAAGCCTAACTTCATGTCTGTATTTGGAGTAACACTTACGGCTGTTGTAGCGCGCAATCTTGTAGAACTTCCACGAGCATATGCTTATAAGGGTATGAATGGTGACTGTGGAATAACATGAAGGAAAACAGGTGAATAAACTTAGCAAATTTTATGGTATAAATTTAACTCATATGAAACAAAATTAGCATTCTAACCCTTTTAACTGCAAACGCAAGTAGGGAGGAGGTACTGAAAAAAAGCAGGATATAAATATAACTGACAAATCGCAAAGCAAATTGTAATGAATGAGTGAATATGCATACTTGATGACAGTAAAATCCAGTTCGTTTCCAGCACGTAGAATTTCTGCCTTGATTCGAGAGTGCTCTTTCTCCTGAACCGGTGAGTCACAGACGCTGACAACAATGTCGCCAACTTCTAGACCAGCTCTTGCAGCAATGCTATGTAGTGTGACCTACGAGGTCAACATTTATACATTTGGTATTGCTAATAATATCTAAGTAAGTAGTGATGTATGGATTTAAAACTAATGTGATATAAAAATATTTAATCAGGCCGATAATGTGAAAATTTTAATCATTTAAGCTAAAAGGCTGATTGCAACTTGCTAAGAACCTTAACCCTAGAAAAGACGGGTAAGAAATCATACCCATATGCTGTACCGTTTTCCTACATAACATAGAGCGTATTTTGTGCGACTTAAAGCAAAAACGTCTGCACAAGACGTAGTTTTTGCTCCACTAACCAATTCCACAAAGCAGCTAAGTGCCAGACACAATTTTAAAGCCAAAATGCAGAGTCTCCTCAAAAGGATAAATAAAGGAATGTCAGAGAGGCCAGATAAATCTCATAATAACACTCTTGATCCACCTTTTGCTCATAAATATGACATAGATCTTAGGAAAAATTGGCGTCCATACGTTAAGAATGCACACTTTAAAAATAGTGTTGAAATGTCAAATCAAGATCGGTTGTAACCAACGGTAGTCAGTACGCGGGAGCAGTCCTTCCAGCGCTCAGTCCTTCAAAGACAAATGTTTGTGGCTGAATCCAACGAGATTGTACAAGATGGTTTAAAATATCGTATTTTATTTGCAGTACTTATTATAATTCTCTATTTTAACATTGGAAAACACGGTGAAATATTGGCAATGGTAGAACCAATACCAATTCCTATCCGCAAATCACTGCAAGCCTGGCTCATTTTCACCACTGAAATCCTAGATTAATGCTGAAGGGCAGAAGAATTCCATTTGATTTAAGTTCAACGGAGACACTGCTTTACGACGCAAATCGAGCACGGTGCTTTGGTTTCGAGGCCCACAATTGAAGGGAAATTGCGCAGTTGAGTCACTGTGTACACCGACGATCGTTGATGGAAAGGGCGAAGATGCGCACTTTTTGCATTTGTAGACTCTCATCGTATTTAGGTGACTGGAAAGCCCTCCGACATTGTCCTTATTTTTTGTGCAACTCAGTATTTTTGTGCTGTTTTCGAAAGCACTGAATTACTACTATTCCAAGGTCGGTGTTTAGTGGCACGTTGTGCGCCATGCTCACTACAAAAGTCAGCAGACGGTTTAAGGTAGTTGTAAGTATTCTGTTTCGTTCCCATTGAAATGATGAAGCCTCCGAAGTTGCAATGCAAGTATGAAATGTTATAGGCAGAAACTGCATGGTAAAATGGGGCTAAATGGATCTCAACGATACGAATGTACCAAATGTTACTAAATCGCAAGTGTATTTGTTGATTAAAATTCTTCCAATTCCAAAACATTCGCTTTTTCACGAGGCTCTAATCAGCCGAGGTCATTTGAAAAAAACCGCAAAGAGCTGTGCCTGTAATAGGGCAAGGTGGTCAAGAAAACAGGCAACGAACCCGTAAAACATCGGTCGAACAAACGCAGTAACTATCAAGCAAAATGAAACCTAAAAGGCTTTTTACTGAAAATAATGAGGTATATACTACACCTCAACACTAACAAAGAGTCGCTTACAGTATCTTAGCTGCCATTGTCCTTTGCACAGCCGGTTTCGCTGAAAATGATACGATTAAATAATCTTTAACCGCCTAAAGGTGACAACATGATCTATCTTCCAAACTTAAAACTCCAGCACCTAAGAGGACAGGTTAATGGAACTGCAACCTTGATTTTTATTACTTTTAAGTTCTGAGTTTTCTATATTTATCCCACTATTTGTGGTATCAAGGTCAAGGTGCTTTTCCAAAAGTGCAAGACTGCAAAGGATGTGTGACCTTAGTGACCGTTTGATTGGTCTCACAAGCCCCAAAAGCCGAGCAGTCCATCATTTAAATGGGACAAGGCTTATCACCCAGAGTAGTTAACACCCAGTTGTAAAACACTTAGACACTTGCCAAGGGCAGAGCGAATTTTGGAGGAATAAAAGCACGAGAGATTTTTATCGGAAAATAGGGTGGGAAGAAAATGAACGCCTGGTCAAAAATACTTGGCAGTGATCATTTACTAGTGTTTGCGGAAACAAACAAGATTCTGGCGACAAGTGGGCTCGCAATTCATGTGATTTAATTGGTAGTGGCAAACAGGGTGTCAAGAGAAAGGAAGTAAACCAGTCAAATGTGATGCGCTTTGCTGAATCTTGCTGCAAGGGCTATTTAGCATTCGGCCAAATAGAAAAGTCAGATGTCATTAACCTGGCCGTCTCGCGTCAGGCGGATCACTTATGGTTTCGTCGGCTTATTCCCACCTTGTTGAAGTCAGGATTCCGAGCTTCACCGCTTCTACAATGCATCTTCATCAACTCAAGCGTAAAAAAATCTTACAATAATAAATCTACCAAAATATTAAATTTGCACAGAAGGAGAGGAGAGATGAGAAAACATGAAAATGATCTACACTTTTTTTGACAGTAGCGTTAGACACAACACAGCTGTTGGCGTTTATCACGATTAAATAGCTTCATTCTAACATCTTATTTTTACGGAATTTGTTGAGAGGAATCCATGCGAATGGTGACGACATGGGCTGAATCTTTATCTGTGGGGCTAGAAAATGCAAACTTCATTTGAGTCAATCCGGGCAATACTACCTTGAAACGATTGCTGGTGTAAAAAAGGTGCTGCTGTACCGTCCACGTTGTCAATTCCCGCTCGATACAAGCAGATTCTGTTCCTGATTTTGTTGAAAGTATGCAATGGCTATAACACAAAATGCTATGAAATCCTCGCATACGTTGAATAGAGTGAGCTTGAAAGAAATGAAGCCAATATTATCATGTTATACCGTCTTATTAGGCTGGTGCCAAAAGACCTTTTCCCATTTGTGTTTACAAGCCGATGTGATTAATCATCAACACCATCATCCATTCTCTTGGATATAGGTATAATCCATATACAGTCAAAACAATATCCAAAACAATGTTGGATGGCCTTTAACACATGAGAATCAAACACTGGCATTAGGTGACATGGGTTCCAGAAACTCTTTCGAAAAACTAGTGGTTAGAAGAAAGATGTCATTATAAAGCAGGCTGGTACTGCAAGATGCTAATTGTTTAACTCAGGTGCTCCGCCATCGTAGCTTCCCCGGGTTGGCTGGCCTCCAAGCCATGCCAGTAACCCCAGGCCCTCTCTACGTCGACAACACATATTCTGCCCTAATATTATGTCTTTTTCCGTCTTCAAGGAAGTCTAAAGTGCTACATTGGTGGTGGCAGAAAGCAAACACTATCTTAGAGGACATCTGTCCTAATTTCTAAGGCTAGGTGATAAACCTTAGCAGAGTGCAAGAAGTGTATATGCTACGGATGGGAGAATCTGTAACGACCCCAAAGAGAATGGCTGAAAATGACTTCTGCCTTCGGCAACTGTCCCAGTTCTCTGTTCTGCAAAAGCTATTAACAACAGAAGTGACACTAGCCGTGGATCATCAGGAGAAAATTCGTTACAGTAGTACGGTCTGTTGTACCCGTTCGTACCTGTCAATTATGTAAACTTGCGATGCCTCCTTTACGTCTCTACTGTTCCCATGCAAAAAAACCACATATCTAGTAGAGTTGTCACGAGGGATCAGCGACGATGCGCTCAAATGTCTTTTCAGTTGCACGAAAATTTGATGACTGGCAGGGTTGGTTTGTGCGTGTTTTCCTTACAGCACCGATTACGATGTGCTGGCTGACCAAGGGAAGCGCCGAGGACGACACCTTAAGGGAGTAGGGACTATGTAATACGTTTACGGTTTGTTTAACTCTCGGTTGTGGTAAAAAGGCCACTGAGGTGCTCCGCCATTGTACCGTAGTCGAGCGAACTGGCCTCTGGGCCATGCCATTAGCCTCAAGCCCGAGTACAATGGCTTTCTTCGTCCTTGGTGAAGTCTCGAGCACTACGGATATAGCCTACCGATTTCAGTGGCCCGTGCAAAGTAAAATAACGTTGCACTTAATGATTTCATCAACTTATCTCTTGCCAAAATGATGGTATCGTAGTAAACAAAATAGATTTGTCCAAAATATTTGGAGTGTTTTTCGCTACGGATAAACCTAGCATTTAGATTATTACAACTTAATTTGTTATAAATGAGCTGCAAGAAATAATATCAGGAGTGTTGGAGGATAGAGCTAAATGAGACATTGTGCTAATGATAACTAACTACCCCAATAATGGTCAGGTATGTGCATATAAAGTTACTTTTAAGTAAAACAATTTTTTCCGAATGAAATTAATTTACAGACGGTTTCTTCTATTAATACTGCTGAATCTTTATTTGCCCATATTCAAATATACCGTGTAAAGGCGTGTCGATGTATTCTAGCCCTAATTATTTAAACTGCGCTCAATCAATCATCTTGATCGAGACATGAAGATCGCCCTTGATTGTATGTAAAATTTCAGCACCAGCATACAAAATGTGCCGCTCGATTTGGGTCTCGCTGAGAAAAAAGACGCTAACTCACCCTACTTATGAACGGTGGACAGCCGTAGTCGGCGCCACCAAATACCGCGAAGCCCCAAGGCGCCTCGGGCCCAGGACGACGCAGGCGGATCATCATGGGGGGTCGTGAGGTCTGGGCAATCACTCCAGGTCCCAGGTACTGTGACGGCGAAACCTCCTTCACTGGCGACTCGGTAGACTTAACAGACTGACTACCATTGCCGAAGGGGACACAGAAAGTCATGGGAGGTGTCGAAGTGGTAGCCTTGACGACAAATTTCTTAGGTTGTGGAGGAGGCTCGCTCGGCCGATCCAGCGGCTGGGGTCGATCAAACTTTGTGCTATCGGGTTGGTTCGGTGGGTGCTCTGTGGGTTGCCGATCAGCCTGCTTTATTAAATCGGTCTCAGCTGTTCCAAATGGTTGTGGCGAGACGTTTTTGTAAGCTGTCGCGACTCTTGGAGCTTGTGTGAATGAGGCGGGAAGTGTAGACTTACTCAGGACGTTGTTTTGATTGCTGTGATCTATTGCAAAAGCACTTGATGCGCCGAGCTTTGGCGTATCATGAGCTTTCTGTAGATTGAGGTTTGAGAATATAGCAATCTGCTCCTTCACGGAACGTGGAACCTCTTCAACTACTTCGCTGTTTGAAGGGACCTGTGGTGATGGCGGTGCTTTAATTGCTATCAAGACGGGAGTCTTTGGCGCCTCTATTGGGGATTCCTTGGACTCAGATGGATGATCCTCCATCTTGACGGACTCTGGAGTGGGCGTCGCTTCTCTATTTTCACTGGCTTTCAACTCAGAAGATATGGAACCATCTGTCTTTTCATTGGGCTTCTCCTCAACCTGATCTAACTCAACAGTATATTCAATAACCAGCTCCTTGTCATCATTCTCGTCTTCCTTTTCATCCACATTTTCCTCCTCCACATCACTACCAGCCGTGTCGGCTTTTTCATCAGCGCCGTCAGATGACTCAACGGCCTCCTGGTGATCATTCTTATCCTTCGAATCGTCCTGAGGCCTCTCTCTCACATCTTCTTCAGAGCTAGAGATGGCAGAAGACGATGACGCTAAGGAAGACATGGGTATGCAGGCCCCACTGAAAGCTGTGTTCTGGCAAGGCAGGATCTATTCCCAGAAGTGGGCTTTTATTGGCTAAAAGGCGGGCATGCACCAGACCTCCTTATTGGACGGTCAAGGGACGCGCGTGACTGTCTTGGCGACCATGGCGATGATCTGGATACCCCACCTCGTTTTTAATATTAAAATTAGTGGAATTGTGAGGAATGACCTTAGTAAGTAAGACCTATAGCGCCAGCAATGGGGCAGTTACTGGGGCAAAGCTGCATTCCCTCTTTTTGTGCATTACTTTGATAATTTTGCTTGGTGGTTTACATATATCGGTAGCAAAATGTCGATTTAAAAGTGATTTAACTAAATTTGCGAAAAACTTTGCGCTCTGGATGATTAATTCGAAACGGAAAGAGCGAAGTAATCAGGTCGCCTTAGTTTTCGAATAATCACAGGCATTCTATATGCATTAATGCTATTGAATGAGGTTAAACAAATAGAGTTTGCGTCTAAAATCTACTAATTTAGCTTATGGATGATGAATAAAGTGGCACCAGGGAGCACACTTCCACTTACCGCCTTTTTGCCGCAGCTTCAGATCTCCGAATGTGGATTCCCTTCAGTTGCAGTTGTGGACAAGGAATAAACACCTTATATCGATAAAATAACCATTCGTATGGGAATGCCGTGACCACTCAGAACCCTCAAGGGTTTGTGCAACAGGAGGCATTTATGTGGACATGATTGCTAGCAATAAACGCTCTCAGAGCACATTCAGATAAAAAGATATTCTTCGCATAAGCCAGTGGGAGAATCCCACGCTTGCAAATAATGGCGATTAAGTTTTGGACATTGACTTCCTACTGCCAAAGGAATTGCTCTTTCCTTTGAGAAATACCAATTCTGTTCGCAGGGCAGTCATCACAAATTACTATTAAATTCTACCTTTTAGCCTACAGTAGACCATGCAAACCTTAAAGACGACTATGCAGATCGTTCAGCAGATTCGTCAAATAAACGGCTATGGGGAAAGAAATGGTTGATGCATCTCATAAAACAACATTTTGGACAGTGGTTAAGAGAAGTTTACACTATTCTTCTCCAATACCCATCTAATAAATATTCCACGTGACAATCCATATAAAAAGTGAATAAAAAGCATGGGACTGAGAAGATAAATTCAGATATTTTTAATGCAATCGTTTGCACAAGACTACGCACTGTGCAGGTAATCAAAGTGGAAAAAGGGATCTGAAGCTTCAACAGCTGAATAGGGCGTTGGGAAGGAGGATAGAGAAATAAAAAATGGAAAACGGAGGGAAAAGGGAAGGATGTGAGGGCCTACTGCGCAGAGGGCACGAGAGGGAGACTCGAGGAGGCGACGTTGAGGCGTAGGTCCTCGAGATGTCGCTCGATCGCCGCCTCAAGGGATGTTGAGTGCTCGCGTTCCGTCGCCAGAAAGTGAACCGCCAACTGCTCCACGTCATCATCGTTCCAAATTCCCAGGCCGAAGAAGCTGTCTCGTCCTTTCGATGGACTTCTAGGCTACAAAAGAACGATATTTTGACAGTTAACCACTAGGACTTTTCAGTCTCTGTAGGCTCCGTTCAAAAAATTTGTGTTATAGCGCTTTGTCAATGCCATTATTATCAACAACTCACCGGACTTTTCGTATATCAACAACTACAGCCAGACGTACTGCGAAGAGAGAGCACATAAACATAAGAGTACTAATATTCCGAATATCCTGTGATTTCACTACCTAAAAGTAATCCATTGAGAGTTAATTTGGGATAGCCATTTCTTCTAAGGATTGTATTTTAAAATAAAATAAAGGAGACAGAGATTGCAGCAACAATGCTGCAGCAACAATGCAATGCTTAGTGAGTTATACAATTCTACTTACCCCACAATAATTTGGTCAATCACATAGTGGTACGCAATATGTTGGCTGTTTGTTTAACTCTCTGTTCTGGTAGAGGGACCACTTAGGCGCTCCACTATTGTAATTTCGCGGGGTGGGCAGGCCTGCGGTCCGTGCCAGTAGCCCGAGCCCTATTGTATGTCAAATACGCGTATTCTGGTCGAGCATTGTGTCTTCTTTCAACTTCAGGGAAACCTTGAGACGCTACAGGTATACGGCCGCTTTCGGTCCCGTAACAAATTAATCTGTTTTAGTCCCTACGTCTTGTTTCGTTATCAGATGAAACTCCGACGGTGTGTATGCAGTTGTACCCGTCATGGCCTTACTAATCGGTATTTAAAACCGACATTGTAAGTCAATCTTTGTAAACTACAACTACCGCAGTTGTTCCAAATTTCCAAACATTTCACAAAGTAGACGATTGTGACGCTCAAAGTGATCCTATTTGCCGGCCTTATATTACTGGAAATTAAATGAACTTGAAGAATCTTTACTTTTAGTGCAGTAATTTCAGTGATTTCATGGAAAAAAAAACAACAGAAGAAACGTGAGTCAGCGTACTTTTTCCGCATCTATTAGCTTATCCATTAAGACGCTTTTCCGGCTAAATACGAAGAAGTTTAACAACTGGGAAAACTATAAGTCTTGATAAACGGTGAGCAAAGCGTATTCAAGAGACAAATTTTTAGGGGAGATAACACATACCAGCAAAACATTATGCGATTTCACATTCCCAGTAAGCGCGAAATTTTTGTCAATCGTTTTATGAGCCAAACAAGTACATGAACAATCACAAGGCGGCATGTGGACTAGAAATTGGATTAACAAAAATATGAAAGCTAAAACAAACATGCTTACATAAACACGAATGAAAGTAAATATAAGTTCCAACAGTACCACCTTCATAGAGAGCAGAACTATGGTGTTAGAATCACAAGCCTGTGAAATGTGGTTCTGTGGCATAATTTTAGGATAATGAGTAAGGGGGTAGAATTTAATTATTTTATTGTCGTCGAGGCTGAAAAACTCACCTCGTTCCAAGCATCTCCATCAGCAGATACAGAAGTCAGTGTGAAGTGGGATGACCGCGCAGCACTGAAGAACAATTGAGGAGTTCCTTCTGGGACTTTCTGAGTATTAGCTAGTGTGACACCGGCGAAGTCTGCAGGTGTTGAATCCGCCGATGGAGGTACGCCGATATCTTGCTGATCACGCTTGGTGTTACTCCTACAATATTAAAGCGAGTAAAACTTCGTTGGCGCTGACACTTTTGAGATCTTTGTCATGTGGATGAAAAATCAATTAATACGTTCCAAACCACTAGAACTTCGACTTTAAGCTCCCTGATATACGGTCTCATACCGTGCAAAGTACCCTAAATATTCTTCTTCGAAGGTGTCTGAAAACAAACAATTTCCTTTTACTTTACGCCACACTATATAGGGCGGCATGTAATAATTAAAATTAAAATCGCATTAAGAGGAAACATTGACTTATCCGGTTTTCAACTTATTGTTGGCGAAAAGTCAGCATTCACCATTGCGATATTAACCTGTATTGACTAAAAGTTATAACGTGACGGGTGACAAAGTAATGAGGATGTCGGCGGGTTAAAGCTCCACAAAACTCATGGGAATTAGAGTAAAATATGGGTTTACGAGTGAATCATGAAAAATAGAAGTCCATCAGATGTACTTATCCACAAATGATCCAGCAGATTAACAGCAAATACCGAAATGGGCAGACTTAGTCAATACGCATAAAAAGTAAACTTGTATACGAATGTAATCCAGTTATTTGGAGCCCAATCAGTGGACATTAAAAGAATCCAGGAAAGCACTGAGAAGTATCCGGTATTCGAAACCAGCTATTACGATAATTTTAGTCATTGAACCTTTGGCACGGCGAATAACAAGCACAGGTGGTGACGTAGAGGTACTAACTACATGAGAAACTCTTGTAGTCAATAGGACATTTTCATCAACAACATATAGCACCCACAAAGTCAATTGACTATTTTCAGTAATCACAAAAAGAACGCCCTATTCACGCCCCAGCAAGTGGGAGTTTCCGTCAAACCCAGTAAGGTAAAATAATTTCAGCATGCGAAATAAGATTGCAAAAGCAATGACATGATGTAGAAGTAAATGCCTTGTGAGAAACAGTGCCCGTGTGACAGAAAGAAAGTGATTTGTCATGGCAGTGAATGCGCCCTCCGAAGGAACAATGCAATTCTGAAGGGAGGGTCTCGAAGATCTTGTCACAAACAACCTGCTGAGGTATAATGGATAAATGTGCGGGACAAAAATAACAACCAAAATGGTTCAAAATGAAGTGAATACAAGAATAAGTCCCAGTAACTACCTTAAGAAAAAGAAAAAAAGACAAATAGGGTGAAAATGTCCAAGCAATAAGATGCAAAATTTGAGGAAGCTTACATTTACTGCGTAACTAGTTGTAAGAATTCGATCAGTAAGCATTTATAGAATTTTAAGACACTAACTACAGATGGAGTCTTGCCCAAATCTACCATGATCTTAACGGGGTTTCACCATTTATGGGGAAAACTTTTCATGAATAAACTCTTTCAAACAGGAGAGTAAAATAACCAACACCCAGATTTTGGAACACATCGATGGCCAGAAAATACTAGAAAAAAACTCCGTGATAGTCTTTCAATTGGCAAATCTACTTTTACCGTTAAAAGTTGCTAGACAGGTAATTTAACTCCAAATGATGATGTCAATCTTTCAAACAAAAAGCAATGAGACATCTTCCGCACAAATACCTACCTCTACATCATACGCTTAATCCAAAAACAACTGTATTAGTGCTACTAAAACTTATATCCGTGTTTCATTTTTGCTTTGCGTTGAAATGCGAAGGTTAAATCCAGAGCCACATGATACAAATGCAAATGTTGTTAGATTTTGCACAGAGACTGCACTTGAAGTAATTCATTTTAATGAAATAAACAATCATGTCTGAAATTGCGGACGAGAGTGCGTGACTGTGCCTGCAAGAATCGACGACAAAGACGACGGGATAAAAAATGAATGAACAGCTGCGCCTGTGAAAAGCCCAGCCACCTCGTCTAATCAATGAAAAGGGGAATTCCCTGCGACTCCCAGACTTGGATGTAAAGACAACGAGGACCAAGCGCATTGAACGAGTTGCTTCTGGTGCCTACTTGATGTAACTCCCAAAGACACAACTGGCAAACAACAACAGTGGCTCAAATTACGACTTCTGTGTTTCCAAATTAATTAGTTTGAACCTGGAAAAATGGGACCATTCATATTTACACAGCAACTGCTAAGACTGCACCCACCAAGTCTCGACTTGAAAGGTTACTTAAAATGAAGCTAGATATATTTCTCGGGAAGAAATTGTTAATCCAAATACAAACGATTAATGTTACCCTATTATTTACGCCCTGTCAACAATGCATCAAATCTCACAGACCTCAAAATAATCTAAATTTCAGTGAAAAAAGGGTTTTTCATTATTGCAGAATTCAACGAATTTAAATTTTAAAATGCATTTATCAAGGATTTTAATAAAGGTGACTATTTTTACGTTATCAGCATACTGAAGACAGACGTCCCGTTAGGCAATACGGTCAGGATATGTGCAGACATTCAAAGAAAATTGGAGGTGAAAGGTGTCGAACCGAATTGCGTATAATATGAAAGAAAAGTCAAATGCACAGGTCTACCTGTAAGTGGATTCGACATCGCATTCTTTGTTTGACAGCCAAGGCGGTGAGCAGAAAACTCCCTCAGCAATAGAGGTAGTGACGGCTACTGTAGTAGCAGGCGCCGTGACAATGGCGACGGCAGGAGCACTCTCGGTGTCACCGACCGTCAAATCCGCCTGCTTCGTCCGCACCGCTGTCATCCAGGTTGGGCTCGAGCGGGCCGACTAGAAAAAGGAGCAACCTTGCCGATAAGAATAGAACCCTAGTAAGCACCGTAAGTACCAATCGTAAAGGCAGCTGCTACCACCACTTTGTTTCCTATATAAGCAAATACCAAAGACGAGTGGAACAAAACTTTCCTGTTTTAGAATATTGACATTTAGAGAAAAAATCGTGCCATCCTAAACATGACAGGAGAAAATAAGCCATTTCTTACTGAATTTTAGACCGATATTCTAAACAAAGACGTGTCGATTCAAACTACCACTGTTTATGGATTTGTCAATCAGCTCTCCTAAGCGTTGCAAAATAAGTGGCTACTTGGGGAATCAGACATATGGGTAGTCACCGCCATTTACCGGTAAAGAAGACGAGAGTGGTTTGTTAACGAATAATAAAATCTGTTGGCTACGTTAGATTTTCCCAACTAGTGTTCCTGGTATTTGATAAAGTTATAAACTCACAAGTGCGACACATCGAAAGCGCTTTTAATACTAAGTGGAACTCACGCTACTCTTCAGATGGCTAACCCATTGGTTTTCTGTAGAGTTCCAGTCAGCTAGGAGGGCCTGGACGTTTGTACCGCTCTCGTTAGAGACATCAACAGTATCCACAGACACGTTGACCTAAAGTCAAAGCGGTGTACGATTGATAGTAGTGAGCTCGAGCCAATCCTGACCAAAATAGGGAATTTCCTAACTGAAGCACCAGAGACAGGCTGAACTATTACAGAATAGTGGAAAATAGAGTCAAAAGCAAGTAATTTAACCAAAAAAACAAGTGTATCAAGACTTTATTGATGTACAAAGCGCACGCAGTCACAGTGGTCCCCATCCAAAAAAGGCCGGGTTGTAAAGCGAAAAAGGGAATTATTTTAAAACAAACAGCTGATAGGATTTTACAGATAGCAGTGAACCTTTAATGGCCACAAGGAAGACTTCATTACTTTTATAACAGCGATTGAGTGTAGTAGGTCAAAGCCTTTGAGGGTTCGATGAAACGACTAGAAATAACAGACTTACCTGTAAAGGCTTAAAAATTAATGGTAAATAATAAAAATAATGCGCTTCTCTACTAAGAGGGGTCGTCTAGGAAACCTCGTGTTTTTTTGACCAAATGAAACATACCAATGCCACGTAATTAAGTCTTGTGCGAATACCTTAACAAAATTGAAGTTAAGTGATTTTGTTTGTTTGCTTTTTCTTGGTAGCATCATTGACCCTTAAAATAAATAATTGAATCACAATTAAGACTCATCTAAGTATCTCACCAGATAACAATACAGTACGACTAGATTTCTGAAATAAGACGGAACACCAGAAAACTATCGAAATGGAAGAAGGAAATATAAGTGAAAAATGAGTCATACTGAAGAAAATCTCCCAGTATGACTAGAATTCTTTAAGATAAAGCTGCATAGTTTAAATAACTTAATTGTAGGGCACGGTTGTAGTAGCGGTGAAGCTCACTTCTGTTTGAGTGGCTAAAGGGATTCTGTCATCGAGACCTGAAAATTCAGAAGGCTTGGTTTGAGATTCGCATCTAAGCTCCATAGCATTGACATTCGCCAATTCGATTTCCTCCTGAATTGCCGGTGACACGGCATAGCGACCCTCATCCAACACCATTAGTGCTTCCGCGAGAAAACCTGGGATATTGTTCACAGAGGAGTCCGGATAAACCTCAGGTACCTGAATCGGTGAAAGCATATGTTACTTAAACACAAATAGTAGACATACAAAATGGAGGCAGGAAGTCTTGCAAAACCTACATCTGTTTGAGTAGTTTAAAGGCGTAAAAACCAACGTTTCACAAGTGATCCGAGTCAGGGATGCAATAACGCTGCTCACCTGACATTCGACGGCCTGAGTTTGAGTAGGTTTGCAGTCAACACCACGGTCACAGTACCCAACTGGTTCAGATTGACATGCCTAAGATACGCAAATTAGTGTTTAACCTAAATCAAAGCTCGTCAAGAACTGTCAAGGAGGAAACAGCCCTACCTTCGACTGGAAACTCTGTCGTTCACGAGGTCGTATGCGGAGCCTCACCTGTTCCAGTTCAGCACATTTGTGCGCGAGAGCCGCCTTACCCTCCTCGATTCCCACTTTTAATTCCTCTATCAGCTTCATAGCAGCAGCGTAGCCATCTTCCATTTCTCTAAATATTAGAAGGAACTACTAAAGTGCGTATTGCAATGACATTGCGAAATTAAAGGACAATACTCCAAATGAAAATCAGTCCCGCAATACAATGAGAGAATGGTGGATTTAACAACCTGGCAAACGGCTTTCAGTACCCAAATTTATTCAGAAAATTAACTCCTTAGCAATATGAAGCCAAACTAAAGGAACGCATTGCAGGCTGAGGTAAAATTGCAAATGGAGAAGCAAACATACCTAATCCGATCGTTTTTCTGTGAAATTTCATCCTCTAGCTTTGCTATAATGATATCGGATTTTGAAGGTCCGAAATATTTACAGTCGGTCATTGTGGATGTGCAGTGCACATTGGGTTTGTGATGCACTTGTGTGGAAACCTCGCTCGTGGTAATGTGCAGCTTTGGTGGCGACCACTGAAGCCTAAAGTTGCGAGTGGCTGGACGGCAGTTTTCTTTTTGCCTTAGGGAAAGAATTTCCTGATCCTAAAATACAGTAATGCAAGTTCCACCGATTAACTGGAGGTAATCAGTAGAGCATAGTTGTGAGTAACAAGTCAATCAAGTGCCAAATAGCGAAAAAGGCAGATAAAGGTAGTGCATAATATCAGCGTTTAGGAAAAAACAAGTGTGAACCAAAGCAGAAAGTCGCTTAGCGATATGCCAGAAGTTTTTTTCCGTTTTCTGTAAAATTTGACGTGCAAAATTACTTTCTCCTAAATAAATCTGAGTGGTCTTAGTGGAAAAAGACCCAAAGTTGCATTTTGCTTAAATGAATCGCTTTTACACATTCAAGGTATAACGCGAAAAAGACTAGATATTTTGACTTGCTGAGAAAGATAAAATTAACTGAACCACAGACAAGGTAAGGTCAATACCTGAAACCACACGATACTTCGAAAGTATCAAGGGATGTAACAAAAAAACTGTCAGGAAACTACAAATCTTACTTGTACACGCTTCGAAGCGATAAGTTCTTGAACCTGCTGCTCAACCTTTTGTATCTGCGCACGAAAGTCGCGTTCAAGAGAATCAAGTTGAGCCCTTTGTTCGTTAATTTCCAATGTTTTCGTAGCAACTTGCGATTCGATTTCATTCGATTGCTTTAAAGAAGCAATCAAAACGGCAGGTGCAGCCTCACGAGCATCATTGCCTCCAGCTAGATTACTAAGAAAGTAATAAACAACCAGGTAAAACCTGGAAAAAACTTAACAATATAAACACACTCCAGTGAACTACATATAGCATAGTAAATCCGATTACTTGCAGTAAGTCCCAATATTCCGCGTGTGCACATCAGACACGTGGCACCGAGACCGCCATTTACTATATTTTGCTTGCAGTTTAATAAGACTTTCCGACATCATATTCGACGAGTTTTTCAGGCTCTCGATCTGGCGTTCGTAATCCAACTTCACCGCTTCATTGCACTCCTTCAGATATTGAGCACGTTGAGTTAATTTTACAATCTGCTGTCAATAAAATGTAGGCGACGAACCTCTACATCCTTCAAGGCTACCAGGGATTTCGTTCTACAATGAGTCTTCTTTTCTTCAGCTAATTTCGCCTCGGCTGTCCTAATTCTGTTGCTCCATTCTAATTTCTTCCGTTCCACTAAATTATCAAGGTCTATGATCAGCTGTTTCAGTTCCCCTTCGTAGACATCAAAATATGGAATCAGACAGCTAAAATTTTTCGGGCTATACCGATAAGGTGTCAGCATTGCATTACCAGGTCATTGCTCCCTCCCTTTATATTACCTTCGTGTGCAGACCGCTAGTTGGCAATTCCGATATGACCTTTTTGTGTTTACAATGATATTTTTGATTCATTCTAATGATGAGAATGCCTTTATTTTAATCGTTTAAAATATATATTTTCACCAAGCTATATTCAAAAACTAAAAAAATCCATCGAATACAGAAAAAATTTTGTTAGAGAAAAGTGTGTGCAACTTTCCTCTAAGTAACCACTTGCATTCCTTATTCTCGGCTAATACTATTAGGATTAGTAAACTGCTTTTCCAATTTTCAAAAAAAGTTGCCTTTAAATTTGCAAAACACGAGGTGAATAATTACAACGAACCTAAAGAAACCGAGTATCTGCGCGTATATACGTTGCTTCCCCGGGACTTTCCTGAAGGCGAAGGAAGGCATAATGCTCGTATATAAATTATATTTATCCTCATGCATCAAAGCTTGGAGGCTAAATGTAGGAACAAAGGCCTAAAAGCAGAGTCATTTAGTAAAGGACGGGATCAAACATAGTTTCGTGGTGGTAGGGTTTCGCTCTTATTCGGCCCTGTCACTTTGTTCTCACTTCAGAACTGTTCAGTTATATCTATCTGGATTCCATGTGACTAATAGAGAGGCAAAAGTATCACGTGATCACCCAGCAATAAGCAGCAGTAAAATCGGGATGGATAATCTTTAGGACAGGTATGACTTTCCCCTATCACCATTGTAGCGCCCGAGACTACCTTGAGGACGGGGACAAATGCATTATTAGGTAAGAATATCGGCTGTCAACGTAGAAGAGATCTGGGGCTACACCTCTATGTAAAGTTACAGAAGTGGGGGCCCAAATTGCCCCTTTTTTAGTAAATCTATGGGTTAAACAACCACCATATAACTCATATGGTCTGTAATAAATTATTCTGTTCAACTATTTACTTAACTGCATAAGCTTTATGGGCGGTGGAACATTGCCAAGCAATGCCGTTAGCTTTTTGCCTATTTCTTATAGTAAATGTTTGTCCATCCTAACGTGATCATTTTCACCCTTTTGGGATGATTTAGAAAAGAAAAGCACACTTTACAGTCAACAGAGGAAGCCCAGGCTTATAAAAGCTCTTATTTAATGCATTGGTTGTATGGCCCTCGGTTTTGGAAAAGGGTCGCTTTGTGTCTTGGCCATTGTACCTTTGTAGAATGAGCTGGCCTCTTGGCCATGTCAGTAGTCCCAGAACCTTTTGTACGTTGGATTTATATATGCGTATATTCTACCCAAGCATTATGTCTTCTTTTGTCGATAGGGAATTATCAAGTGGCTACATTTGCGTGCAGTATCCTGTTAAACCTGATTATGTATTGTCCACTAAAATTTCCTAAGTTAATGAAAGCTAAACATTTTTTACTCATTTATGCAACATTTGTCAAAATGAAAAGTATGGGCTGGTGCTAACCAAGGGAATTGCTTCTCCATTTATATTATTGGACCATCATAGCAAACAGCACATTAGTCCCATCGAGCACAGTGTCATTAAATGCTTGTGATTTTATTATTTTTTAATGTAGTTTTGAGCAAGAAAGCTTCCCATCCATAGACAACCGTGATACACTCTGATGGTGCCGTCATTCGGCTGGACCGATAGCCTCCCAGACTTTCATCTATACTTGTATAGCTTATTAGGACCGTAGAGAGGAATCTAAATGGTTTGTACTGTCTCACGTATTTCTGAGGTAAAACTGAAATTGCATATATTCTATTGGCTTGGTTGTTAGTTTAACGGTCTGTTTCGGTGGAGGGCCACTTTGACTTGGCCATTGTACCTCGCCAGGAGTGTCTGCCCTTGAGCCATGCCAATAGCCTTAGTACCCTTTGTATGCCGAATATATATATTCTGTAAGAGTATCATGTAATACGGTAGTAGTGGTTCATCCCTTGGCATTGGCGAGGCCCCACTTTCGTGCTTTGAATTAGCCCCCTTGTACCTCGCTGGGTGGGCTGGCCTTTTGGGCCATGCCAATAGCCCAGACACCTTCTCTGCGCTGAATATACATTTTGTCCTAGTATTTTGTCTTCTTTCGTCTTCAGAGATGTCTCGGGGCGCTGCAATAGTGCAGGTTCAAGCATAGCATAAACCAAAGGTCGTGGACTCACCCCTACTTATTTGTGTGATATGGATTTGTTGACGCACATCTTTGTAGTTCCTGTAGTGTACTCAGTGTGAATACTGAATGCCAGTAAAATATGTCGCAACTTTCACTTTGCGAAGCTAGTTGAGAACAACTATTAATTCCAACTAAACAGACATTCTGCACAAATAAAGGCGGTTAAAAATTTGCGTTTTGAGTTTTGTTTCTTTAAAAATAAATTCGGGAAATGATTTTATTATTTTTGTGGACGATGACATTGATGAACACACTTTACCCGCCCATCTCCAGCCTCATCGGGCATAGGCCTCTAGTTTCACATTCAATCAGTCGCCTTTATTTAACAATGCCTTATAGTTCCGAATTCCTGTCGGAAATAAAGGTTTTCTTTGTCAGTTTTCTTATGCTTTGTCAACTAGGAACTTGTTAAAGCGAAACTTAGTGAGCTTGGTGCCTTCGCTGATGAGGAATTGCCAGATTATATAACTGTCATGGTTGCAAATAAGAAGAAGCGCAGCAGCATGATCAAGGACTTGCAACTTTTTCTAGGATCTCAGACGGAACTGTTTACAGATTGGTAAGGCAAAGTTATTTTTGACGGCGTTTTAAGGCTCCATGGTATTCTGGATTCGAGAATCCAACAGAGAGGTATTTGTGGTGGTATCCTCGTGAATGTTTTGCTTAGGCTCCAGAAAAGATGTGATTAGTGAAAGATCGGGTTTAAAATCTAGCAAGAGTCAAAAAAAGGAGAAGTCGGGGCGGTCTTCACATCGTTCGGTGTCCTCGAGTAAACCGAGGAGTGCTAGATCCCGCTCTCCAGTTCAGTCAGTAAAACTACCGTCTGAAGAATCCATCGCAGCTGATGTAGTAAACGTTCAAACGGATGAAAGTACTACAAAGTTATTTATTAAGTCACTACTTTAGACGAATTTACTGAGGAAAACTCTCACTCCCTTCCCGGTGACAATAAACACACCGCAGATCAGAAACCAACGGAGCAACGACGGGTTGTAAGCACCTCAAGTCTTGGTAGCAAGTCCACTCAAAAGTCTTCTGAAGAGCTTCCAGCTGTCCGCTCCGTCGTTAAGGTAAATCCTAGGCGTTATATTCCGTCGTAGGTAATTTATTCTCACATTCAATGCTTTGAGAAGTTTACTGACTACTTGATATGTTCGAAATCAAGTTCTTAGTAGAACTTCATCATCACAGCCCTCTGTTTTGTCCTAGTAAAGCCGTGCTTCTCATAAGCTAAAAATATGATTATCTCCAGATCTACAATACTTTCATGTATTTCCTTTTTTGGGCTCAAACAATCATTTTGCAGCACGATGTTTTGTAACCACTTACTATAAACTAACAAAGTACTCATGACGTTTGTGGCGTGTGTTCCATGTGGCAGTACGCTTTACGTATACATCCCCGATGCTTTAGGTTTCAACAAATGCTCCATCAGCGCAGTCGAGCACCAATACGACAGCTAGTTCAGCAGCCGTTGGTGGCATGCTCTTGAAACGTGCAATGAATGAGGCTCGAGCCAGCACTGCTCAAGCTCAAGAACGACCTGCTGCCGTTGTTCGCGGACAGAAGCGGACTATTGAAAAGTGAGAAACCTTACCTTATTCCTCCTCATTTTTTAAAAAACAGTTCTTTTTTTAGTTGATGACCTTATAAGAGTTTTATTAAAAACCAGTTTTATCTGTTTGGTAATTAATGTTACCGCATTTATCGTACATTCATGCATTATTCACACATTAACTAACCACGTATATCAGACTATTCTTTTGTAATAATATCATATCGGCCCACAATTAAACATTACTACAAACAAATGTTACAAAAACTTGGGCTGTAATTAGTTTATGGCATGCGATGAATCATTCTCACTAATACTTCCTAACTCTTTAAGCGGATCTTGATATTCTTATTTTCATCTTGTTTTCAATTGTGTGGCACCTTTGTAAAACGAAGCTTTTTGTCTTTTTTAAAGGTACCTATGTATTTAAATTTCGGCTTGCATGGTGAGATTCCTCTTTAAATGACATTGGAGGGATTCCTTTCTTTCTTCTAGATCGGAGGTTGCTGCTATACCTCAGGAGAGGACGAAGGGGGATGTAAATGAGGCAGAGGAGGCGGAGGTGCCGACGAAGATGACGCGATTCGTTGTGACCATGGGTGAGGAGCCGTTGCTGTTGAAGCCTAGTGTGAAATCGCGACTGGGACCACGAGTAGTTGCGCCCATCACCGACACATCCAACAACGTCGAAATGCTTGACGCTCGTGAAATCCTCATTGCCAAGAAGTCTAAAGTCAAGTCGCCCCGCATGCAGATCATCCTCGGCGATTCCTTTGGGGAGGATGAGGAGGAGGAAGGGGGAGAGGGCATTGTTAGTAGTGCCAATGACGTCTTTGCTTTTGAGAGGGAAGGTGATGGGAAATCAGAGGACAAGAAACCTGGCAGAAGCGCTATCCCCAGGTGAGACTCTGCGTCTCCCATTTTGTTATTTGCGCATTCATCATAAAAGATCTCGCTGACAACTTGGTACTACAAAGCACAAAACGTTTGCGACTTTCCAACTAGTGCTAAATGCCGTTGATGCTCGAGGTAGTGGCGAAATATAGGCAGCATAATCAAATTCGCATTCAATCGGCATGAATCTCTTAAGTTAATTTTAGCTATAATAGCAGGCAGCGCTTCTCGGAAGTATTATGATTTCTGAGTTGTTCAATCTACATTTTTGTTAAAGTAAGCATAACCAACGTAGGCGGCTTGCTCACTCCTGAAACGTTCAAGGTAAATAGGTAGACTCTTAATAAACTTTTAAAGAACTAGTTTGCACAGTTCTACGTGCTTTTTTTTCATATCTGTGACTTGTGTACCCATCAAAACTCGCCCTATTAATTTTTATACTTGTTGCTTACTACTTTAGCTCCCTTCAGCGGTGCAAATATTGGCCTAATTGCCGCAACCAGGGGAATTGCCAGTACATTCACCCCAAGGAGGAGTGCAAGGCCTTCCCTTCATGCAGATTTGGTGATCGTTGCCTTTACATTCACCCCCCTTGTCGCTATGGTGCCCAATGCTCTCGACCTGGCTGTGCATTTTCTCACGCAGGACAGGGTATTTATCGTTTTCATTCTTCGCGGCTTTTTATCTTCAAATTTCAAATTCGTTTGCTTTATTTTGAAATGAGCTTAGGTGAATATGTTTTTGGCAGGGTAATCGCTTGACAGCTCTATCCTACGCTTCATGTGATTGTTATTTTGGTAAAATTCGATCCTGTCATTTGGCTTTCGAATCTTTTTTATTACTAATTTAAATGTGCTGCCTTTTATATGATATAAACTGGATATAATGCAGTAAAGGCTTAGAGTTGAATGCGTCATAATCTGCGAAAAAATGTAATTTATTTCTAGGCCTTTATTATCTATTTATTAACAAAAACAGGCAAAGGCTTTTGTATGTAAATATGATTAAAACAAAGGTTGATCAGTTTCAAAGGATTTATCCGCTCAGATCAGTTTTGCCACAAAGCTAGTATTACCTACCCCTAAATTAGCATACAAATTCAACTAAAATTAGAAGCTCAAGTAGTTTACTGTTCTAACAGCATCTACCACTTTGTCTCTTAATAACAGATGCCACTGTCTCACCACTCACCCCGAAAGTTGTGTGTCGCTACTTCCCTCACTGTAAGCTACCCGTGGGCACTTGTCCCTTCTATCATCCTCCTACGCCTGTGTGTCGCTTCGGCGCGACGTGCTTGAACAGAGGTACCACCTGCCCCTTCGCGCACCCCATACCGGCTGCGGGAGCTAAGGTCGGCCCCTTGACTGTGCCCGTGCCCTCAAATAAACTCAAGTGGGTTGCCCCGGGGAAGTCTGCTACTTGCGCTGCTGCTCCCACCACTGCTACAAAGAAAATGTCCTCCTCCTCATCGGAGAACATAATTCGAACCACCACCGCCGCAACCCCAATTCCTGCACAGCCGGTGTCAACTGAAATCTCCAGTTAACGCCCTCATCGTGAGTTAAATTGCATCTTGGAGTATATTTTTAAAAGTTTATTGACTGGGTTTTGCTAATTTTCTTACTCAATATACCGCACGGAAAATCCTCACCAATATGCCCTATGATAACCAAAGTGGTTTGTACACTTTTTTCCATAGATTTTATTTATCCATGCGTAATCGGGCAGCATTCTTGAAGTACTGAGTATTCATCATGCGACCCATTAGGTGGCTCTGCGTACTTGCCATATTGGGGCGTTGGTTTCGTTTAAAGTTCGTTTTTCATGTACATCTTCACTTCATTCCCGTGGATTTTCATCTCAAATGTTTATTCCGCCACCAAGAGCTTCAGTAATCCGTGGGTTTTGTTTAATATTTTGAAGATGCGTGAACTTCCATGAATTAGCACAAAGTTGGTTTAGTATACGCGAACACAAATTATGTTTCATGTGACATCTGCTTAAAATCAGTAATGCGCTCCCATATGTTTACTTTTAAAACAGTGGATGTTCTTTGATTGCCTCATGTGTAAAAATGATTTTTAAGTGATAAGCTGGAGTATTTTACTTTCAGTGGTTCGGCTTACTTGCTATAATAAAGTGTTTTTTTATTTCAGGTGTCTTCTTTTCATCGATTGTGTTGCTTCATGCCAACGAATCGATTTGCGTACGTATTTACAACAAATAAAGCGTTTTGTTAATACCATTAGTTGATCCATTAACAGCCACTCAAATCGAATGCCTAATGACATCCAAAATGCTAAAACCGCCTCAAGAAATAAATCGTATAGGGTCTCAAGCGATCCTGGTAACCGGGAGGTGCATTTATTGTCCTCCTAAAAGTCTACCTGGAGTGATCACTTCGCGTCTGGTAGCAGTCACGTCTTCCTTTGAGTTGGTTCTTTTTGGTGAATTCAGAGGCGTGGATATGGTGAGTGCTTGTGCGCTCTGCAGTTGGTAGCTGCTATTCTGTACGGTAGTAGGTCTTTAAGTTCCATTAATGCGGTGCGGTGATCTAATACCCAGCTCAGCTACGCGGGTACTTCACACACCGCAGGTTGTACTTCACTCTGCGTCGTGGGCTACGGCTATGCGAATAGTCTTTAGTTAGTAATTCAGGTAATCCTATGCCACTTTGGCTTGGGGGAGGCTAAAGGAGCTCTGGTGGCGTCTTGGCCCTGTCGTTTCAGTTAAATCTCCCACAGGTGGGGAGGTGTGCTAGGTACGGTTCAATAGTGGTGTCAATTCCCGTCGGGTAGGTTACTGAGTTCATGACTCGTGTATTTTAGAATGATCCAGCATACCATCTCATCAAACGTAGTGATTTATCAGCAGAAAATTTTGTGAGAATACACGTTTCAGTCTAGGAACCCAGAAAGTAGTTATTTCTTCCATCCACTTAAGTTTTAATAAACTTGTATAAGGTTTACTCAGGATTCTATTTTATCTTGCGTTTGATTAGAATTCCATAAATGAACGGTGTGGTGTGCATGAATAGGTATACTTTTTTCTTCCTGAAAATAATTCCCTGTGCTCGAGTTCACCGACCTACTCTTCAACTTTCTCAAACTTATGAAACAAGATATTTTGAAAGAAGAAAATATTTTCTTCTGAAAATTTTAAACGTCAGTCAAGTTCAATTACAGATACTGACGAAAGTAATGCTTTGTTTTAACCAGTTTTGAGTGTATCATGGTAACCAATAGCTGTTCCGTTTATAAGCCGACGCCATGTCTGTACATCCCCTCTCTCTCGGGTGGTTGGTTGTCCACGCACTTAGTGCGATGGAGATGCATCGAAGTGTGTTGAAACAGTATGGTTTGTTAATCTGGCATTGTTTCCGTCAGTAAATTAATGATATAGCTACACAAGCATACCGAGTAATGTAGAAGTCAAGTCAACGGGCTTTTAATGATCTGGTAGCCGTTTTGGGTGATAGACTTGACCGATGAAACTAGGCCATTGTAGGGTCTATACGAGACTCGTGGGGGGTCTTTCAAGACTCTTTTGGGAGTCATTTTTGGTCTCTCAATCTATTTGTGTTTTCTGGGTGTTGTTCTCCCATATCTCGGTAGTTAGGTGTGCAGCCGACGTAGGTTTAGGTGACAGCACTAAAGTAGCTATGTCGTCTCACACTGCCCTGTCAGGGGCCGTGAAGTCAACGGCTTTTGGCGAGAGCATCCATACTCGGAAATGCTGTTGTCCTCCGAAGTCGATTGGGGAGGGAAGGGGAATCCATGTCCAAGTGAGGATAACCAGACACGACCGACGACGTGTCTAGGTCCGTTGTCATTCGCCCACTGTCACCCATTTCTCCTGGTTGAGGGCACGTCGGGGCCACAGCATTCGTGCCCTTGTCGCTATCCTCACGATTGGTCCGTGTGCGTGCATTCAGACGGTAGACCCGAACGTCAGCCTACGCACAATCCACCTGGAGCCTTACAAATAGCGCGCTATCAGTTTGGGTGAGTTTTCTGGTTCTCAGAGTATAGTAGCACTCTTGACTGACTACTTTGATGCGTATCGAAGCGGCCTAGGGATACTCGATAATAAAAACAAAAAAGGCACCAAGCGATGTCGGTCACGCAGTAGTCATCGCCTTTCGATATGAAACATTTATTGTGAAATCTAGCCTATTCCTTATTTAAATGTGGCTAATTTGAGTTAGCCAACTCCTATTTGCCGTTCATCGAGGGGTCAGTGAGACAAGGTATCCTAACCGCTGGCATTAAATCGCTTTGTGAGCAAAAGGCTGAGTTTGTTAGTCAATCTCGAAACGGGGCGCATACCTCATGTTCATTTGGCACTTTACGCTGTCTTCAGTTGATGTTTTTTTTCCCATCGGAGTAAAAGAATAATAGGGAACTTAGAACGTGTGGTGTTCTATGGTCTTTTGTACTGTTTTTTAGTTGTAATCACAGTGCAGTACGTTTGGGTGGTGACTACGGAATGATTCTGAAATCGAAGAACAATGGAATCTATGCTAAGTTAGTTGTGGGATTTAGTAAAGCCCCAAATTCATCCTATGCCAAAGTAGCATGGAAGGATGTGTGTTACTAAAACTCGGAAGAGCTGGGAGACTATTAGCGTGCCCCAAGGACCGCGTTTCGGAGTAAAAGTACAGTCTACTAAGACTGCAGTGCTTGAATAGGCTAATATGATCAAAGTATTGGATCACTACATTGACTCTCCCCAGTCAATTTGCGTTCTCAATCACATCACACTTTGCACTTCAGGGTGGGGAATTTTCTTATATGTGAGAAGATGTCTGGGTTTTCGTTACCTTTTAGTCTTTGAACTCGCGGTTAGGGAGGAGTGTACTGTCTTCGTACTGCTTTACAATGAGGACGATTTAGTTTCCAATCTCTGGCCCCTAAGAGTATTAAACTAAAAGCGGGACCATTGAAGATACAAAAGGATTTGAAACAACTTGGTGAGGTCAGTGTTCTTCATCTCTCTCCTGGCTCTGTCTCCATTCTGGTGCACCCTGCCCACCTGTCTACTTGAGTTCCGCTCAGCTGGTAGGCACGTGGAAATGTCACTTCTCGTAGTTAACGTCGTTATTCTAAGTACCGTTTACAACTCCATAATGAGCTTTTCCAAGCTGTTCAAGTCTGGTGTCGCTTCAGATGTCAATAGCCTGCTTACATAACGTAGGGTCAGGGTAATTGGAGAAGGTGGAAGTCATTCTTGACCAAGCCATTAAATACTTTCACAGATTTACAAACCCACTGCTGGCATTAGCAGCGCAGAAGAGACCCTATGTCTGCATGTCGCCCCAACTGATGTAGCGCCCAGGGCCTTTCAAAGGTGTAATAAGCCACTGTATCATAAAGGAATATGTGCTGCTGGTGTGCAAGACGGCCAGGAAGTCGGTGGCGTGATACGAGGGCTGTGTCACAGAGTGGAAGTACAGTCTGCGTGGTCTGGAGTGTCGGGATTGATTGACCCACAGTTAAAAGAAAAATTAAGTCACTGGACCTTTTTTGGCAACGTAGATACGGGTAGCTGCCATAGGGACTCGAGTCAAAAACATGGCTTGCTTAAACATGCAGAGTATACAATATTTACCTGGAATTATCATTGCAAATTTGACACAGTGTGATGAGATACTACAGCAATCAGTAGTTTAAAAGACGTAAAGTCTGATCTTTCCCGCACTTCTTTAAAAGAACCAATTAATGTAATAGATTTTTAAACTGAATAAACTCGCAACTAAGCCCTGGACTCCAATGCACAAGTTTGTTTAATGCTGCTAAAATGGATCCGTTCTTCTTGTGTTTGGTTGGCTGCCGTCTCGATAACACAAACATCGTGTCTGGGTATTTGATGTTTTATTATGGTGAGCCATTATGGGGTAATTTGGTGCACATTCGGTGTCCAAATGTCTTAAACAACTTTTTTGCTTCAAAGTTATTTTCTGTATGCAAAATGGTTGCGTATCCCTTAGTTATTTAAGTCTGATTTCATTGAAAGTAAAAGCAATGGTTTGGATGCTACTTTATGAGCCGACAGCCTGAGCTGCTGTCGTTTCTTTCTGGTAGAGAGCGGCAGATGCACATTATCCGCTGAGGTCTCATCTAATGTATTAAAGATGCTCACCTTGTATGCTCCCGATGTTTGCAGGTGCTCTCGCATGCTGTTTTGTCTTTGCATGGTCGTGTGTGCTGAATGTTGAAACCTTGTATAGTCTCAGTAGCTCACTGATTTTATACACCGGATGTGTGCTTCCCGTAAATAATGCTTTTTTATTGAAAGCCAAACTCGAGCAAAAGGAGCAACTTTTGGCGTCTTCGCCGTCGCGGCGTCTATAGGGGCTCTTCCAACTCTACGCAAGTTTGTAGGCCGAGCACCAATTCATCTTTGGTTCTGGATGGTCCATCTGTTTTGAATAAGGAACCAGTTTTACTTGCTGCATGTCCTAAATCCTCCCCGTATCCTGGGTGGCTGTTATACTTTCCAGGGTTAACCTTTGAGTCTGACAGCACTGCGGCAAAATATACCAAAGTAAGCCCTTGATTACTCGCATATTTGCACAGATTCTTGTCGACTTCATTGAAACAGAGTGTCTCTCGGAGACACCCGATACCACTCCTACATTCTCCCAAATCAATTGGACAGCTGTGGAAGAGTGTTCATGCATTAACGTTGACTTTGAATCGCTTAAATCGTCATCGTTGTTGGCAAGAGAGATATCTGGCTGGCCTCCTGAACCCGACGCCAAGCAGATGTTTGACGCCAAACAGCTACTCTCATCGCTTGGGCTCGCCGTTCATACGGTAGCCACCAAAAAGTTGTATGGTATCTATGCAGATCCTTGTTAGTGATTTCAACTTTTATTTGCTTATCAGAGTCATTCATCACAGTTTGTCTTCGGTTTTATTGTAGTTAGTCCTAATGAGGAAGCGAAGCTGCCTTACATAGCTGCCCGTTTAGTGAATCATCATCTCTTAATTCCGATGCGCAGTTTGAGAGCACATCATCTTGGAAATCTTGTCTCTCTTCGTGCAACAGTTGCTAGACTTGGATCGGTGAGCTCTTGTTGTAACTTTTGCGCATTTTTTAGAATTACAGATTCGACCACTTTGTTGCAGACTCTGCTTTCGGTGTGCACTTTGTGAAAGTGAACAGGTTGTAGTGCTTGAAGAGACCGGGTGTTTTGTTAATCCGACAAAGTGTCCGACAAAAGGTTGTCGTTCAAAAATATTTTATCCTTTCTTCTCTTCACCATCCACACTAGTCATCGATACGCAAGTAGGTCTTATTTGTTATCGGATGCCTCCTCAAGTTATTTGAATTTAAACAAATTTTAATACATCCCTTACTCAGATAGTGCTCCTACAAGAATCTGATGAAGATGAAAATTGTTCGAACCATCAGTCAACGACTGGCCGGGTTCCACATAACCTCATCTGTTTCGTTGATCGAGACCTTGTTGACGCCTGTGTACCTGGTGATTTCGTCCACGTTTGCGGCATAGTTAGTCTCCTTTCAGCCACCTCCGATGCTACCTCCCTTTATTCTGCTGGGGTTCGCCGTCCATTCAGTTCTACACAGGAGGCGTCTGGCAGTAGGACCAATGTTTTCAACCTCTGCCTACGCGTGAACAATCTGACGAGAATCTTTAGCCGTGCGGGCGAAGGCAGTGACTGTACCAAAGTAACACAATGCCTCACTACTCGGCATCAGGATTCTTGCACCAACGAGGAAATTGCTGCGAAGAACCTGAGTAGTGTGAATGACATCCAAATTGCGGGTAATATTTCCTATCTTGTCAGTAGCTTCATGGGTTTTCTGCTTTTCTGCGCACCTAAAATGCATCCCCGCATTTCTATTCCTCAGATGCTCACTTTTCAGTAAGTGACCTATATGCAATTCGCGGAATTGCAGAGGAGTCAAATCTCTTCAACCTTCTCATTACTTCCTTCTGTCCCTCAATCTGCGGTCGAGAACTTGTCAAGATGGCCATTTTGCTAGCCGCTTTCGGTGGATCGGCAAATTCTTGGGGTCTCCGGGTGCAATCTTCACAAAAAACCGGTGAGAAGTCCCCAGACTTATCTATGTCCTCGGATGACGAGGGCGAGAGGGTCAGCGATACCTTGAGCGTAGAGATTGCAACAGCCCCACCTGGTGCCTTGACGATTAGTGAGGATGCATTTGTACGGCGTTGTTCCTCACACGTTCTCCTCGTGGGTAACTAGTCCTTTTTTATTGTTGAGTGCATTTTCCGTTTTGACGAGCCATTTCAATCTGATTCCAAGGAGAGTGGGGTGTATCTGGTTACCGGTTACTGTTCGCATATTTTACATTATTCAATATCAAAAGTCTGTTGTATTGATGGTCAGATGTTATTTCCTAAATATCTTAGGTGATCCGGGCATTGGAAAAAGTCAGTTGCTAAGGGCAGCCGCCAGTGTGGCGCCTCGAGCTGTCTACGTTTGCGGCAACACCACATCAGCTGCCGGTCTGACGGTGAGTGCCTGTCGAGACAATTCGTCCTTCGGCCTGGAGGCAGGAGCTCTTGTACTCGCTGATCAGGTAGCCTCTCGTTCATTCTTACTTGCACATGAGCTGTGAGTTTTTAGCACTCCTCAATGGGTTGAGATATGATAGCGCCTTTCTCCATCTGTCTTATTGCCTACATACCATGAAACGATACCCTCCAGGGCATCTGCTGCATCGACGAGTTTGATAAGATCTCTTGCGATCCGGCGGCACTTCTGGAAGTCTTGGAGCAGCAGACAGTTTCTGTGGCGCGTGGTGGCTACGTCTGCAATTTGGCAGCTCGCACTTCTGTCCTTGCTGCTGCTAACCCTGTTGTTGGGCATTACGACTCCTCCAAGACCATCTACGAAAATGTTCGCATTTCAAGATCTCTCATCTCACGGTAACTTTTCATTTCTATCTTCCTCTTTGATAAAACCCGTGGGCGTGGATTACTGGTCTGATTTCGTATTCGGCTAGTTTTAAATCTGATGGTATTCTCCTGTTAATTCGTGTTTTCAATTATCCTGGATATTACCTGGTTTTTCAATCTGGCATAGCTTTATACTAACGCATACACAGAGACATTGGTTTTTGACTAGCAAAGTGGCTAAGATGTCAACTGTCTAGTGAGTTCTAGACCTTTTGAAATGTTGGCTCACCCCTAGATTCGATTTGATCTTCATTTTGCCGGATCGGCCATCCGAGAACCTCGACCGACGTTTATCAGAGCACGTTCTGGCGCTACACATGGGCCAGCGTATGAAAGGGGACGGCATCGATACCATAAACTTCTCTGTCACTCTGAATGAATCTGACAGCGGTGCAAATTGCGACAATTTGCCCCTTGAGAACCGTTTACGCATTGGAACTAGCAACCGACGACTCATCCCTCCTCACCTCCTTCGAAAGTACATCACCTATGCAAGGGCCTATGTTCACCCTAGGTCAGTCGTTGTTCAACCCATGCAATGCTAGTAGCAGTTTTTTGTGTACATAGGGTATGTCCACTTGGTTAATTGTTTAGCCACAGAGCAAATTGACGCTGCCTTTATCTATCCTTGGGAATGCTTTGAAAATGAGTATTTTTAGACTTGTTTTGTTGCAATCGGAGGCATCAAATAGCTATCAACTGAAATAAGTGCTGAAAGCTTTTGAAATAAGTGAAACTATAAGGCAGCCAAAGTTCTTGTTTTCTTCCATTACTAAAAATTAAATAACTACAGTAAACCTCTCAAGCTATCCTTTTAGCAATCACTATTGCATTTTATGACCCATTCTTAAAGAGACTAGATTTTGCCGCAAATCCCACTTTTATGGACTATTTTGTCTCTAGGAGCAAACAACCTAGCTCTGGTTACTTTCGTTTCCGCCTCAATTTTTTTCCCTAACTGTCTATTTGGCATGTGATTGGCTAATGTCAATGAAAGGCGACAATGGGACAGCACTTCCTCCTATCTCATCATGAAATGCAAATCTTAGAGGCCAGTTTTTGTTTTGTTGTGTACGAGGTCTTGTACTTTTTTGTAAAACTGAGATAAGACTCACCAATGCTGACTGAATAGTCCTGGATGCTTCCGAAGGTGGATTTGTCCTTAGGTTTAATCAAGTGGATATATAGATCTCAGCCGTAACCGCCACTTGGCCTTTAGTTAGTGAAAAATTTACAGTAGAACACTGCCTGCAGCCTGTCGCACGCAAAGCAGTCTCGTGGGGTTGCAATAATGCGTGCCGTAGAAGTGGTTGAATTTTAGACCCATTTCTCACCATTCCTTAGGCAGCAAATAACGTATGTAAAATAAGCGAACAAATGAGCAATCTTTAAAGCTTGCGATCGACTTTCAATGCGTGGCACAGGACCCATCTCAATCTTCGCTTCTCAGTTGGTTCAGCTGTAAGCAAACCGTTTCATCACCCCCTTTAATCTCTACTGAAAGTTATCGACACCCTAGTCTCTAACTAATGTAGTCTTCCTAATGACCTAGAGTAGGAGATTTTTTGAATACGATACACTCCTCCCTGAGCGATTCGTAACAGAATCGGCCTTTTAAATACTCTCTGGACAATAGATTTTGCCATCGCACCTTCTCCAGATGCAATACAACAAGTTTTGGGGCTGAGCCAAACTCGGATCGTAAAGCAGACATGCTTAAATCACATTCATTAGGATCAAACGGCATTTCATGAAATGAGGATTCAAAATAGGAGGAAAACGGTAGAGACTGAAATAAGAGACAACGTACTGATAGATTGACGCATAGCTAGTGTAGATAAACGACCGCATTTTAGAAGTCCCAGCAAGTGATAGCAAGTCATTGCAGTCCTACTATTCCTAAATATACATAAATTTTTGGTCACCTGGTGTTGGGTATTATTTCAATATTACACTGTACTGGTCTGTGACACCTCTTTTCACGTATCTAAGGTTGACTCAGGAGGCAGCTCAGTTTATCCACGATTTTTATCTCAAGTTGCGAAAGCGTAAGATAGAGGACAACGACCTATTTCAGGTGACAATTCGTCAATTGGAGTCGCTCATCCGTTTGTCATCAGCCCGAGCTCGAGCTGAACTGCGTGAAGAGATTACTAAACAGGTAAGAAATTCTTTTCTTATCTCCACCTACCCACTCGCCGCATAAATGAGTAATAATTCTATTGTGAATTCCCCCTAGGACGCACGAGACGTGTGTGATCTCATGTTAGAGACGGGATACGGCACATCCCAGTCCCCAGGTTTAAACGGTGCCATTTCGGCTAGCTTCGTATCAACGAAGAAGCGCAAGAACGCGTCCGCTACAGGTGTTGCAGCCACTAAGTGTCTCCTTTCTGCTTTGCATGTGAGTGACTGCTCCCCCATTCCTCCCTCATCTTTTTTGGACTAGAATTCAATGTTAATTGCCAATGGTTTAGCGCGAAGCCTCTCGGCCGGGTGCGAGTCGTATCTTTACGACTCAGGAGATCGCCGGCATCGCAGCGCAAATCGGTCTCTCTGGTGATGATAGCATTCTCTACCAGCGTTGTACCCCAGGCGGCACTTTGAGCATCCTTATTGACAACTTGAACAATATTGGGGCACTCCTGAAGCGTGGAGTGGATCAGTACAGTCTCGTCTGATTTGTTTACTTGCTTTTCTATTCTATTATGGCAAGACTTTGTTGAGTCATCTTCGTGTACTAACGTTGTTTTGTGGGAATCTAAGTGTGTCCATGTAAATTTTGTGCAAATCAATACAATCGGCTTATAAATAGTGGTTTCACTACTACATGGGCGGTATCATGAAATACTGCCGAAGTTGAGGTTAACCCAGGGATTGTTTGGGCCAGTGATTGAGTGGTGGGAATCCCGTGACAATGATGGTTTTTCTCTTCAAGTATCGGTGTTGGAGTGAATACTCATTGAGCACTTTTTGATCAAAAGGAGGGGGTTTTGAAGGAGTAGCGCTGAATGACGGGGTTCGTAATAGGTTTTAGGAGGTAGAGATATATTTTAACGCCAGTGGAGCAGTATTATACCCTAGTACACTGGTGGTGGCGAGTCATGGCCACCGTTGGAGATCACCCAGGATGTAGGTGCAGCAATTTGATATTTTATTCAACTTCATTAGCATATGAGCTCCTGAAGGCCATAGCTGTGACATTTTGGCTCTCTCGTGTGTTTGCAGTAAGTGTTCTTTTGCACTACTTCGGCTTGTTACGACTACGGGGAGACTAGGGGAGCCAGAGTGGGATTACATGAGGGTAAGTTCTGTGATCAAAACACCACGCAGTAATTTATCCCATTCAAATGTTTTTTTCGAAATCAAACGTAATTATGATAACTGGAAGGTTAAGAGTGATAAGTGAAATGTCTGAAAATTTCCATAATTTATTTAAAATAACCAGTTTATTTTTCTTCACCAAAATAGTCTTTGGAAAAATGACCTGATTCTAACTGACTTGTGGAGTTTGTGTGCCACTTCGACTGCTATAAATTGCCTTATAAGTCTTAAAAAGCTGGTGTGCATTTTAACTTTTAAAATTCTTCGCTTTGACCTTGACAATTGCCCACGGACAGTTTTTATTGGCCATGACAGCGGGGCTTGGCACCCGCGTGCATTGGTCTTATACAGTCCTCTGTTACTTTTGGTGAGATTTCGAGTGGGTTGACCCTAGTGCAATCAGAGAAGTCTCAATATGGCCTACGTTGCTGTACCAGCCGTTAACTTACCAGTTTCACAGAACTGCTATAACCCTTCCTCTACCTTATCTAAGTACGGATATCGTACACGAAGACCTCCGAATTATTCTAAAGCTACTTTGAATCGAAATTACGAAACCTCTCTTGGTGCCTGGAGCAATGATGTCTTAGTGAATTCCCGTTATGGTAATCATCCTATCGATTCTCAAAACAAGGTATTTGTTCCAATAAGGTTTTTTCACTTTTTTTCCTACAATAGATTGGGTCCAACTGGAGAAATGCATTACGAACATCAAGACGTTTCTCTCATTCTGTTGATACGACACCCTTTTTCGTTTATCAGAATAACCACTCAGCTTTATTGAAGTACAGTCCTAAATACGCCGTTGGAGGCATATACAACAAGAGGACAGGTTCTCAGCCCGAGATGGAATCTGCATCACACCTATCCCATTCAAGGGATTCAATCTACGAACACCTGCGTGCGCCATGTTATGGAGTTTCAAAAAACTTGCCTGTATCCGGAAGCGCATTTAGTTTGCACAAATACTCACCACATCGAGAGTCTTTCAGTTATGCTAACCGGCCCTACCATTGGCGTAATTCAAAACCTTTTCGAAATACTTCTGGGGATTCGTCAGTTACACAGGATTGCCTAAAAGACAGTAGTAGTTCAACATTACATAATTCCCTTTTCGACAATTTTCATCATGCGCCTCGTACACATGTAAAGACTTCTTTTGATGACCGGTTGAATGATGACGCATTCCGAAAGGGCGATGTGATAGGCAATCGATATCAAATAGTTCAAGAGATAGGCAGAGGTAGCTTTGGAAAGGTTTACAAAGCAATGGACAATCAAACAGGAAAACTTTGTGCCCTGAAATGCATTAAGGACATATCGAACTTTAGAAAACTCGCAGATGAAGAAATTGCAATTTTATTGGCTTTATCGCAACAGGATGCGAATGATGAGTACAACTTTCTCCACTTGAACAATCATTTTTTAACATCGGATTGCACATTTATGGTTTTTGACTTATTGAGCGTAAATTTGTTCCAGTTAATACATCGCAATAATTACCGAGGCTTTGCTCCAAGGTTGGTTCGGAAGTTTGTTCGATGTATCCTCAATTGCCTCAAATTTCTACATAGGTGAGTTTAAACATCTAGCCCCCAAAATTATTCCGACAAAAAAATCAGTGCATAATTTTATTTTTTGCTTTACTGCACTCAGACTTTATAAGCACTTTATAACTTACCAATACTTAATCTGGAAGTTACCTTTTTCATATCTGCCTTTCAGAAACAAAGTTATCCATTGTGACCTGAAGCCCGAGAATATTCTTTTGGAGCGGTGTGGTTACACCAACGTAAAGGTCATTGATTTTGGTTCAAGTTGTTATATTGGGCAAAATGCTTACGCCTACATACAGTCAAGATTTTACAGGGCTCCGGAAGTTATCTTTGGCAGTGAGTACGAGGCACCAATCGATATATGGAGTCTTGGTTGTATAGCTGCAGAACTTTTGACAGGTAACTATTCATTTATGGCCATGCCTTCTAAAAAGTGGGTTTGGAGTTTGATCGCGAATCAAATCAGGCGAGGATGATGAAAAAAAAACACTCAGAAAATAATATTTTCACTTAATACTACGTTAAGTTTAACCAGAAAAGTGAATGTCTATCGACAGTCTTGGGCACACTGATGTTGAAGGGTGGCGCAAATAACAACGACAGCTTATGCTGCAAATCACCAGTAATTATGTATCTTTTTTCTCGTACTTATAGGCTCCCCACTTTTTCCTGGAGAAAATGAACAGGATCAGATTGCCTGCATAATGGAAGTTCTCGGTCTTCCACCAGCTAGTATTATGCGAAAAATACGAAGGCTGCATCACTTCTTCACCGCTGATGGTGTACCACGATACCTCGCCGAAAGAGCAGAGCAACTTGAACATCAGGTATTTTTGTGAAAATACCTTGAGTATGTCCTGAAGTGTGGCGACAGTAAATAATATTTTAGCGGTTCAGCTTTACATGGCACACCTGAGAACGAAATGCAGTATCAGTGTATTGCGTAGTTTGGATTTACAATCCACTTTCTTTTGATATTCCCTATAATCTACTCAAGAGTAGAGTAGAATTTGCTTGCGATTACCCGGAATTTTACCGATTGTATGCAGTTTTTTCGAGTCTCATGAAACAATTATGTGGTTGCAAAACTACAGGTTTCAAAAGCTTGGCTTCCATTTGTGGCCTCTCATGAATGCGCCTGATTTTAATTAGTTGCAGTGGCTTTCTCAAAGAGGACTCGAGATGAAATCTTGTTCACTAATACCTTAAGAGTTGGAGACCATTTGGAGGAGCAATACGCCATGTTCATTAAACGACAATTGCATCAATGACAATGGCAGTAAGCATCCTCAATACTTTTTACCTAAACGCAATTTCTGGGGTTTCGTCATGATTCAACCCACAATCACCACTTTCGCTTTAGGAAATTAATAAAATATCTAGGCTCTTTGCGAATAAGTTTTCAATCAATTTAAGATTCCGAACAAATTTCCCTCATTAGTGGATTTATTATGGAACTCAAACAAATGGTACAAGCTAACTATTCTTATTTTCTGATATTTCGGTATGCTGTTGTTTAACAGTGACTTTTTCGAATTCACCTAAACTTCCGCACACTGCACCCAAATCACAGTACCTGACTTCAATCCCCGTTCGAGTTTCAACGCTGTGTTTTTCGCGCGTATTTCGGCGATCCCTAGAGGAGTTAGCTGATGTACTTATGCAGATATAAGTTACCACCACATGTAAGATTCTGTTCCAACTTCTACAATTCTAAACTTACTGGGATAGTCGACATCAATCAGGAGGAAAGTGAGTTTTACGACAAGCGGAAAAAGCAGAAAGGCATAAACGATGAAAGGCCGTCCCACAAAAGTCGGGAGTGGCTCAACTGTTCTGCAGTGTCTGACCTAATTTAACTGTAAACAATTTGGCAAGTTTGAACCCTAGTACCTTTAAGGCAAATCCATCTGTTTTGTCTAATCATGCATCGTAAACAGGGGAAACACGAGTTGCAATCTGGAGTAGTAGCACATTAAAAGAAATGCTAAATAATCTAACAAAGATATCAAAATAGGAATAATTTCGTTAGAAACTTGTTATAGGTAATGAAACTGCTGTAGTGGTAACAGAGGACAAAATAAAATCTTAGTGTTTAGTTTCATTTCAATGTCATTGTTTTCCGTAGCACAACTTTTTTAGCTTATTTGGTGTCGAAGTAATTTTAATGCCTAAAGTTCCTCATACCAAGCAAATCAGTCTGCCAAACTGTTGAGTAAAGTAATTTTAATAGGGCTGTTTTCTATAGATGCAATACATTTCAAATAGAGATTGACGTGAATTGCTTGATAACACTGTACGAAGGCATTTTGTTACTAAAGTGTTCCACTGGTGAAGACGCAAAACTGTGCTGATTTGGTATCTTGGTGGGATTAAGTCACCTCTTGTTAGAATACTGTAGCTTTTGTTCCGGTTTCCAGCGTGTGAATCACAACCGAATGTCAAATGTTTCTCTTCTGTCGTGTTGATGAAGCTTTCCCCGCCCAACATTCGACTACTTTTCCAAAGTTCGCATAAATATGTTGACACTTTGCAGCCATACATGAAATCAAACTTAGTTTGGATCCTTCTTTGAATTAAACCGTAGAACACCGATTTTTTGCCACACTAGAGCATTTAAAAGCAGTGGTATTTTAAGAAGGTTTTCTATTAATAATCCTTCGAGAAGTTTCAAGTCATTTCAGTCTGCTGATATTTCAGCCTAGGCAATTTACTGCCATGTCGATTCTTCGGAACTCCGTTTGATGCAATCTTTAACTCGGTTTATGGCGCAAGAAGTCAAAGAAAGCAAATGGCAACGCCAAGTACCAATATTGGTTAAAACCATTTCTTTTCGGTTCATTCAACGAAGTTGCCTTTAGGCATTTTAATGATTATTTACTCAAAATTCGTCCTAACTTATGGTCCAGATTGTGTTACAGGACAATTACTGTTTGCTTTATGGTCTTAAAATAAGCAGAAATATGTATGATTGTTACTCACTTGTTACTATGTCACCAATACTATTACGTATAACACTTTGATATCTATATAAGGATTGACTTTGCTTTAATTTTAAAAATCAGGATTATCACCATCCCAAACGGATGAATCGGGCAGATCCAGGTGCTCTCACTCTAGAGATCCTTATGAAGAATTCTCTTGGTGAAGAAGACACTGAGCCTAAGCTGCTGGACTTCCTGTCCCGGTGCCTGCGTTGGGACCCGGCGGAACGAATGACCGCATGTGAGGCACTCCAACATCCGTGGATCCTCGAGGCGGAAGACCTTGCTCTTGACAATGGTGTAGCCTCACCCAAAGAGAGAGCAGCCCCTTCAACTGAAGAGTAGTAGGTTCAGCACGGATGTCTAGACTCATTGTTTGATTATTCTTAGTGGAATTAGGTATTTTCCCGCATTCATCTTAAGGAGATGCAGACGCATTTATAAATGCCATCAGTAAAGAATTGCATTTTTTTGAAACGCACAAATATTTCCCCATTGGGTTTAAATTGAAATTTTTCCATCATAGTTTTTATCAATAGGTTCGGAGATAAAATTCTTTAACTAAGATTTGATTAATGAAAACTGAATAGAAGCATAAGCCTTTTCCAATAGTTCTATTTTTTCCATTGCCTTTAATACCAATTTTAGTAGAATTTTTTGAAAATTCCTCCGCTTTATGCATGCCTGCTTGGTCTTTTTTCAATTATAGGTATTCCTGCACTATCCCACGCAGACTTTACCGCAAAGTCCCACAAAGTAACCAACCGGCAATTTCATTTCAATCCTGGTCATCTGATTTTGCAGGACGCAGTTACTTTTTGTATCGGTGAAGCATATTATTTAAGCTGGTTGCGACGAGACTGTTTACAGACCTCATCTTTGAGAGTATTCCTAAATAAATTTGGATCTGAAACTCGACTTTCTTTTTGCAACATCAATTAAAAGGGCAAAAACATTCTTGATATGCTTTAATACTGCTTTTTCTGTTCATAAGTTATGCAAGTAGTATGACTTTGTCTCAGAAAGAAGTATTTGAGCTTTAAACTTGTAGCTGCTAATTCCAACAGGCGTAGAGGTGCTGCACTACTATAAATGAACTACATACTGGCGTTTACAAAGTAAGACAATCAGTGACAAGTTAAATATGTATGTTTTGAGAATTTCCTGAGGTAGTAGAATTCAGGGGGGTTGCAGTCGAGAGGACTCCCTCCTACCTCTATCACATAGCTTGCCAAATTAATTCGGTAATCTACAAAAGGAGGAGTCGAGTTCAGAAGCAAGGCTTGGCAGAAACAACTTTTTACGCACAGATTCCTTTCTGTGCACGAAAGCTTTGAAATACCGCATACCACAGCAAAAGGCCATTGTACTATATGTCTTTCTAAATGAGTGAATGGATGGGGATATTAGAAAGGAAGACATGCGGTAGCACTTTTCGCATTCCGCATTAGATATGCTTTTACTTCTACATAAAACATTATTCATGAATTTACGATTTATATTATTCAAGTGTGCCTAGCATATCAATATACGGCAAATTCATGCTGTAACACACGCTTACAATGTAACCATAATGCTCTAACTGTTTATTAAACCCTCGGTTCTAGCAATGGAGCACTGAGGGCCTCCGCTATTCTACCTCCGCCAGACGGCCTGTCCACTAGGCCATACCAGTAGTCCCCAAGCTCTTCTTTACGTCAGCACATATTTTGTCCGAGTGTTGAGTCTTCTTTCATCTTTAGGACAGTCTATGAACGCTTCACTTATCTCATGAAACCTGTCCATGCTGCAATATGTGCACAGCTCTCTTTCTGATAGAATACTTCACTATCCCTAAAGTAATCCTTCAAAAGGCGTCAAATTTTAGAAGCTCTAATTTCATCTCACCCTCATTTTCTACCAGTTGGTTAAAGTTTGGGAATTTGAAACTGTGAAGCTTAAATAAGATTGTATTTGTTAATTTATCTAGTTGTTTGTAATAAAAACTCCAAAAACCTATTGTACTGTGCCTGTACCAAAAAAGTGAAAACTTTAATACCTCCTAATCGTTTCTCATTTGGAAAAATGAGTAGTGTAGGTTATCAGATATAAGGCGTAAATTTTCCCTAATTGTAAAATTGTTCGAAAAACGGCAATAAAAAAGTGTAGCTTAAAAATTGGGCGCTAAATGATAGGATTAAGTGCTTAAGTAAAGTACATTTTGCATGAAAATAGGCAGACAATGTCTAAACACAAATAAAAGTCTAACATGCTGGTACTGTGGTTAAGAGGAGCAGCCTCGTGAATGAAAGCGCGTCTGCATTGTGCAAGAGTAAGATCCGTCATAGCAGCTCTAGGCTTGAAACGTTTGGAACCAAAATACATTGTCGTCCTGGTAAATAGGGTAAAATGCTTTTAAAAAAAGTGGTAAAAGTAGATCCTTGCCACTTCATGTAGGGATGAATTGTACGCACGCTTGACACGGCTAGAAAATGCGACTTGTTAAATGTGTTGATTGGAAGACATTTGCTGGTACCGCTAAACCTTAAGGCACCCTCACTCGGTGCGCAGGCTGTATAATGTGTTGGATGATAAACCTGACACTAACTCGTAAAATCCACTTCTCAGGTGCATCGAACTTGACGTTGGGGTTTCTTCAAAAAGGGAGATTCTTAAGTTCTGAAAAATATGAAAATGACATTTCTATCATCTTGCAACTGGTATAACCAAGGCTATAAAATCCAAGAAAACCATTGCACAAAAGCCATGTATTTTTACAAATTGTATTATTTTGGTGAGGTATCTGGAGTTTTAGACCACGAATTAGTGAAAAGGGCTCTTTCAGATTCTTGTAATTTCCTGTTACAATTTTCTTGAATATATCCACACTTATCTGCAGGTTTTTTAACTTTTTTGCTGAGTGCACTTCACTTAGAAATAGAATCTGAAAATGCAGCCCCATTTCTTCGTGAGTCTTGACTTCCTCAAATAAATTGTGGCAGATTATGCAAATTTATACTCGTGTATGAGGTTCCAAACTAGATTAATTGCACTTGGGATTTCCACCCAGATTACCTCATTATGCTCTTTCGTCTCAAGTGTTTCCTTCTGTTTTTTGTTTGCACCTCCAAATTCTTTCCATTGCATTCGGCTTCAAAGATTCCACTACCTCTACCGTATTCATGTCTTCACTTGGTGTTAGTCGTACATTTTTATGTTTGTAATGGTAAAACTGATAAAACAGGTCCACCACTATTCGAAATTTTGGACAAACATCATTTCTAAATTATGTATAAAATTCGCTGTAGTGGTTCAAGTTACAAGGTAGCACCGCAAGAAGGCCCAACACTTAGGCAGAATATGTATTCGATATAGAGCAGGGCTTAGGGATACTGGCAAGGCTCGGAGGTCAGGCCACCCTTCAAAGGTACACTGGAGTAGGTCCTTAGTGGCCTGCAAGGAAAGCTGAGAGTTAAACGAAAGACCAACTTATGACAGTCATCCTGGCGCTCCCCTTTGTCTACCCTCCGGGTCGGCCATCACGATGTACTCGGTGTTGTATGGCAACACCCACGAGTTAACCGTGCCAGTCATCAAATTCGCATGCAACTGAGGAAATACTTAACAGCAACGTTACCTGTCCCTCTTGGCGATTCCGCTGGATCTGGAGCTTCGTCCTGTTTGGGAACTGCATTGATGGGACCAAGGAATGTGCTAACCATCATGCATGTTCATCGCTGGTCGAGGGTACACCGGCCTAAAAGCAGTCATTTAATAAGGGGTGGAGTTTATAATAGTTCCTTGAGGTAGGGTTTCATAAATATTCCTCCGTGTCGCATTGTTCGCACTTCAGTGCTGCCCAACTATATCTATTTGGACTTTATCCAACTAACAGAGAAATGAAGGAGGCTCCGCGAGTCCACACAATGATATCTACATAAAGGTATGTTGGACAGCTCCATACCGAAATTTTAAGTGGTTTTTATTTATTGTTTTGTCAGCTGTTAATAACATTCCTGCGGATCACGGGAGTGAGGTAGTTGCCAGAGCCAGACTTCATTTTCAGACCTTGTGTTGCGGTTAGTCGCCTATTTTCCCATCCACAGCATATGCACTTCTTCCAACCTACTAAAGTTTATTACCCAGCAGTAGATATCAGGAGTGTCATCCTTTAAAATAGGGTTCGTTACTTGCTGTAAGCAATTCAACGCCTCGAGACTTCCCTAGGGACGAAAGAAGACTTTGTACTCAGGCAAACTGTGCACTATCACCCTACCTTAGAGTTTGGGGTCACTGGAATGGCCCAAAGGTCAGCCCATCCGACGAAGGTACAATGGCGGAGCACCTCAGTGATCCCTTTACCAAAATCGCCAGTCAAGCGAATAGCCAATGTATTACAATAATGCGTTAAACGCACATGGAAACCGATCAAACGACCGAAGTATCTTGATTCCTTTTGAAACGGCAGCCGCAGAATGGCATCCTTTACGTACTGATGATTATCTGTAGGTTAGAATTTGAGGATATATTTGTTAATAAAGCATTTTCTAAAAACCACTCATTTTACATAAATTTAGGTTTCAATGCTTACATTTGGTTTCACCACGTGATTGCCTAGGGTGGCACTTCGGTAAGAAGACTGATTTTTTGAGGGAATCCTGTCTTTCTTTCACTGCTTCACCAGCATCATTTTATCTGACTTGGCGCAAATTTACCGTTTCCAATATATTTGAGCAGTTTTTTGAAAACATTTAACAGATACTTGACAGGCTGATACAGTTCACTTCTTTCTACTAATCTGCTTTTAATTCCCGGCTTTCGTTGCATTACCCGTGAAAAACTGAAGAATTCGACTTTTCAAATATCCTATATGTTGTGAAGCGTTGCGAGGTTTGCTGCTTTGATGGAAATTCAACCAGTCCTAAGCTTCTCGTAATCCATCCCCAGATAAGATGTGCAGTCTGATATAATGGACAGAAATGACTTTCTTTTTCACCCCGGTAAACACCATGGGAGCTGCATTTTAATTCACCTTCAATCTGACCTCAGCGTTCCTCTGATAAAAGGCCCAGGAACGAAGTATGCTGCGTAAGTGCTCAGACGAACCACAAAGTTAAAAGTCATATCATACATTTAATACGTTTTCAGTATGTGTTGAGCAATGGAAGATGGAAAGACAGTGCACGATTGCGGTACATCCTGAGCCACATGTTGTTTAAAAGGACTGGCCTTAGCTATTCAAGTCACCTTCGAAGTTCTTTTTTTTCATTGATCTAGGGAATTGTTTTACTAATAAAGTAGCTATCGTTAAGTATTTTAAGTAATTACAATGTGAAATGTCACTGGTTTTTCATCCTAGTTACTGTCAGAACAGGACTAAGGGGCTTTGTCTGCAAATTTAACTGTCAAATAGTTATTTGCCCCCGAGGTAGTTCAATTGTAGAAAATGCTTTTCGTTTTACTGCGATGTGGCCTTTCATGCATGGAATGGAATGAGCAGCAAAATTCGTTCGTGTAAAGATTTTTTCCTTGTTCCAACATACAGTCGGTGGATGTAGCCTGCGTCATACGGCGCGACTTCGAAAAGAAGCGTGTAAAGACCTTTACAATAGTACAAGTACTGTCTTTACCAAGGAAGTCATTCCTCAATGTGTACCAGCAGTATATATTTAAAAATTCAACTTCAGTTAAATCTCAGTGGCAATGAAAACTCACTAACTCTAATTCCAACCCTCTGAGTCTGTCGATTTTGGTGCAAGTTGTAAAAATCCTTTAGATTAAAATCGGAAGAAGCCATCCGTTTCCCCTTCGGTCATTCGTTAATTTTTCGTTTGTCTCTCGGTTTCGGTAACTGTCAGCCTAGGTGCTCTGCCGAGCAGCCTTGCCTCCGGGCTGCGCCAGTAGCCCCAAGCCCTACTGTATGTCGACAATACATACTCTGCCATAGAACCGCGCCTTCTTCCGTCTTTAAGGAAGCCTCAGCGAGCTGAGTATAATCTGGCTGATAAATCTTTCTTCCCCTCCAAATTATTGAGCGAATCTCCAATATAATTACCTAAGTGAGGCTTTCATCAGGAGTGCAAACTATGGAGGTTATTATTTGCATCCCATTATAGATGTATGAGCCTAGTTTATTTGTTTAACCTTTTAGCTAAGGAGAATGCGATCTAGCATTTAATATGGGTGGTTTTCACTTGTTCCAACTGGTCGCTATGGTATGACTTTTCTTTAAAATAGTCTATTTTTATAAAAAGTGCCAGGAGGCTATAAAACTCCGCTGTCTGAGCTTTAAAAACCAAATAAGACGGTTTGACAAAGTTCAATCAATTTTAGAGCTTGGATGACTTTTTCGGACACAGCTCATGGTGATCAAAACTAATAATTGAATTTCAAGGTCGTATCAAATGTACAGGAATTTATGCCCATCCTACTTGGTCACACTTATTAAAGCATAAGTTTTTTAGGGAAAATAAGCCATGGGCACTCTTATTTAGACAGTTCTTAAAAATCAGATTCAAGACTTTGGGTAGAGCGTGAACTTTCAATTTCATGGTCTTATGCGCCAGCATTTAGAGGGTGAATTATTGCTCATGGCCCTTTTTTTGGGAAAAGCGGTGCCCAGTCTATCGACAAATTACCATTTTTAAGGCTCGACACTGGTCGCATGCAGTAGTGAACATGTGCCTTTAAATCCTCTTTTTATTGAATTAAAATATGATGTTAAATTCCGGGGTAGTGTAGCTAACTTCAAGTCAAGTCTGATATATGGACATATTTTTCTGTTAAACATATCAATGTAAAGTGGGCACATTCCACTTTATTTTCAAGCATTGTGAGTGAAATGCAAAAGCTGGATAATGCTGCTGGTCAGATGCACATCCGCACATGACTATTTAAAGCCTTTTATTTAGATGAACTCGTTTATTTGTTATTATTCATGCCTTATTCAGTCCTGATTCCAGGGTAGTTCCATCTCAGAGTATTTGATATCCTCTAGTCTCAGTAGCTCACAACTGAAGTAATTTTAATCTAGATCAAAATAACTGTAATGCGTTAGTTGATTGTTTAGCTCTCGGTTTCCATAGCGTGACCCACGGGTTATACTAAAAGGCCCAGCCCATCTGCACGTCGATAGTACATATCCTGCCGAAGGTTTATGTCTTATTTTGTCTTCGGGGAGGTCTCAGGGAGCCTCAAAACCATAATGTCTTCAAAGTCGAAATATCTTGGGTGCATTAGTAATCTTCCGTCGTATGCAGAATTAGTAAATTTGTCGTCCATCAAAAATTCTCAGATGTATTACTCAACGCCGTGTTCGGGTAAGTTTATGCTGAATAAACCATTCAGCAAGTGTACTGTATTTTGACCGCATATTTCGTTATTTTATAGAAAAATTAAACTAGCAGTGCTTAAATTATACGCGCGATCCAAGACGTTGACATGCTTCTGTACTCGTACTACCAACACATTTTTTTAAAAAACTAAAACAAGGCATTTTTTTTCGTACTTTATAATCCCGAAAAAGCATGTACACCTTGCCATAAAAGACGCGCTATGAATGCCAAGAAATGCATGCATTCACTTACACTGTCACTAGGCTGTCAAAGTATGTCGTAAACCAAATGGATTTATTCGTGTTATGACGATCCTATGGTAGTGGACCCAACTGATCTGGTTAAAGATTTAACTCGGCCTAACAATTGCTTGAAAGCAGATTTGCTTAATCTAGGAACCGGAATACTGCGATATTCTTTAAAACGGCGCAAGGTTTTTTATGCATATGTGTATTGCCCTATGGTGCTCATTCAAAGTAGGGTCGAAAACAATTCAGAACATAGTACGGATTAGGCTAACTGAATCAGGACTTTACACAAAATCTTCCAAATGAGCAAACGAATTATTGTGAGGAGTGTCATTCTGCAGTATATCGACGACGCAAGTGCGCTGTGGACGAATTGCGCCAGTGCAGTGCTCTTACTTTGTGACTGAAAGAACTTCCATTGTTGTGGCAGAATTTTGGTGACTTTATCTTTTTAACAAGTGCTCTAGAGTTATCGTAAAGTAGACGAAGAAGCCAAACGCAAGTGTTATAGATCTGAGTCTCATAAAATCAACGCTGTTACAGACCACCAATATACCTTTCACATTCCAGCGATTTAAATAAATCCCCATTTTTAGCTAATAAAGGTTAATGGTATGGCCATTTATCAAGTTGGTAGGGTGTTTCGCATTTTATTATAGGCACTGAAAATAGTGGTCCAAAGATCTCACGGTTATCAAATTTCAAAAGCTATTTGAAGACTAAATGAAATTCCCAGCACAGTCTTTCAGTATGTGTCTAAAACAAATACCAATGCTGCAACATTGGAAATTCATGTTAGGTGGGTCCGGATTCTTCTTTTGGGTAAGTTTTAGCACGCCTTAAAATATTCTGCAATTTGTTGATTTTTCCTTAAATGTACGAATAATCTTGTCACTACTAAGTCGTATTTAATTTGCATGTTCAAGTGGTCTTTGGATAAATCAGGCCTCACGGATAAGGGCGTTGGAGAGGCCAATAAGATGCAACACAACAATAAAACAAATAGATAAATAGTTTATTATTCGAATAGGCAGTAGTAAGCAAGTAAATCACTTTCAGCCCTGTTCCTTGCTCCCCCTTTTTGGTCTCCGTATCCGTGTTGCTGTAAGTTGAATTTTTCAATGACTGATTGGAATGGAAAATGCGAGGCATTTGAAATACCTTAAAGGAATCATGCTTCTTACTGTTGCATTCCATCTGTATTTTGACTAAGTGCATTAATCATTGCTTTTGTTGAGCCATTAAATCACAGCGCTTACTGATGAACATTGGAATGAGTAAAAACTACCACATTTTGTAGGCGTTAATGCAAAAGGCAGTTGGGCATTCCGACTTGAAAGAAAACAGAAGTAAGACAGGGTTTTTGCTGCACATGCAATGGAATCCACATGGTAAAATACTCATACATTAAACAAAACCCCGAAAGAATTCC